CGTTATCTACATGCATAAATTTGTTTCCCATTACCGTACTTTGCACTTCACCTATACCACCTCTACTGAAACACAAATATGCACAGTTCCCCATTCAAATATAAAATCATTAGCAGCAAGACAATTTTACTTGGTAAAGATTCATTGGTCAAGGAAAAGAACATGTTTTTATTTTCTACATATTTCACCTTTAGATGCAAATATTGACTCGTAAACTTGAATTCTAAATCAATTTACACAACTGAGCCTTTTAAGTTTATAAATGCTGAAGTTGGGTGATAATAAGGTGAAAAATATATGGCGGTAAGCAGTGACATATCTTCTAGGAATACAGAGGGAAGCCACTGAGAAACATTGTTGTACTTATAGGGATAAAAATAGAACCAATGGGCTTGTGGAGAAACAAACACATGCAGAGACTTGGCACTTTGTTGTTAATATGCAAACACAACACGTCTCACATCTAGCATAGTTGTGGCATCGTCTACCTATATCACTCATAAATTTCATAAGCATCACTCCTACCCATGCATAAAAATAATATCTATAATAAAAATGCACATAAAATATAATTAATGTAAAATACATTATAATTATAACAATATGATTGAGTAAAATATAAATAGTAATAACATTATTTAAAAAAAGGTAACAATTGGTGCTATTTGAAAACACGATTCATTTCTGCTTGAGCCTATATCACTGTAGAAGAGTATATATGTCATCACTAGCAATCTCCTAATAAAGAATGCCAATTTTCCTAACTACATCCATGAATGGCACAAAGCTTGGCACGAAAGTTACACAATGGACAGTGAGTGGTGCTCTAAGTGTTGCTCGAGTTTGACGTTCTCGGAGCACAAGGGACACCCGCCCACCACTCACTGTTTACAGTGCTTCACAAACTTCAAGATCTTCCCTACAAAATGAGACTGATACCCAAATTTTCTAAGAAATGTTTCGAGGGAAACAAATTTGTGTATAGTGAAGAATGCAAATTATTTTAGAAGTTAAACATAAACAAGTTCAATAACATCTTCCAGATATTACTGTATATATATGCATGCACACACACGTGTGCATGCATATATGAGCTATGTGTATAATATCTCACTATATAACAATTACACCAAAGGGGTTAACTGTCTAGTAAAATCTATAATCATAAGGCATGATGCACTAACAGACGTGCCTGCAGCGACACTTTTTTTCACATACACAAGAACTTACATTGCAGGATGCAGGTATGGCTAGGCGACAGTTGATTTACTGACTAACATTTGCAGAATCTATAGGTCATGAGAAATTATAATATTCAACTGGGACAAACAATTAAAATTACAAATTTTATACATGACAGCTAAAACATTAAAAATCTTAAAGAAATCAAGACTACTATAGTACTGAGTACTACAGTATTGAGAACTAAAAATGCATGAATGTGAAAATACTGCATTCAACAAATGTTCATATGTCCAACAATTATTTTATTTCCAGGTAATAGGCAAGTGTTTAGCAAATATTAAGGATGTAAGCAACGCACGCTACCAGGGTTGTGTCCACCATCAGAAACTGTAGATATCACTCAAATGTAGAGCTGATGCAGGTCACTAAACGTGGATAAATGTGAATTCCATCTTGATTGTGAAATCAGTCAAGTATAAACTTTCTGAAGTACTACTGAGTGCCATATTATCCCACTAGTATGACTTGAGAGGATGGATGTACGATGAGAGACTACAGCCAGCTGGACTACGACCATGCTATGGGGTGAGCTATGAAATGTCAGAGAGGAAGAAGGAGTCTGGAAGGAGGCGGGGAGGCGGTAGATGCAGGCTGTGTCGTAGCGTTCTCACTGCAACAAACACACCACAGCACTCACTACACACTCAGTTAAGGATAATACATTACTATTAGTATGACACAAAACAAGTACTTACGTGGTTTTCTCAGCATTGTAAAACAAGACATGGGATTGATAATAATTAAAGGTAAGTGACCATTCAGTTATTCTAAATCTTCATGAATGTAGCAGTGAAGTAAAGCATGCAATACTCGAATCCTCTGTAAATACCGAATCTAAAACTATTAATGTCTAATAATTTCCAATTTAAGTATTGTATCTTGCAAGAATTTTTTTTTTAATTTATACTGTAAAAGACATTATACTAAATATGAAAGGTCCCTTATTTTCCCAATATTTTTGTTTGTTTTACTTTAACCTCTGCATGAACGTAAGAAGGTTACTCTAAACCATTTAATGCAATCTTAACTTCTTAGTACAAAGTTCATAATCTATTTCTCTTATAGAATTAATATTTTTTGTAAATAAAGTTTTTGTTCAATGTTTCAAATCAATATATATATATGGAGAAATAATCATCTCCTTGTATTACAGTTAGGTAAAATGGTGACACGTCAGTCCAGAGACACTGGGTATTCCAATGTGACACTTTTGAATATGCAGTACATTAAACAAAATACATATGTATGTATGTACTGTATCACATAAGAACTCTCGAGTTCTTAGTGATTTTATATATGACAACAGCCGAGCCATTGATTATTAAGAACTCTAAATGACCCGGACAGGATCACCCCCCAAATGTACACAGTACTGTGACCACCACACCATTGATTGTCTAGATGATCAATGGTGCAGTGGTCACAGTACCGTGTACATTTCGGGGTGATCCTGGGGCCAGACTCATGAAGCAGTTACGCAAGTACTTACAAACGTGTACGTCTTTTCTCAATCTTTGATGGCTTTGTTTACATTTATTAAGCAGTTTACAAGCTTGAAAACTTCCCAATCAACTGTTGTTATTGTTATAAACAGCCTCCTGGTGCTTCGGAGCTCATCAACTGTTTAATAACTGTAAACAAAGCCGCCAAAGATTGAGAAAAGATGTACAGGTTCGTGAAGTGCTTGCATAACAGCATCGTGAATCTGGCCCCCAGCCGTTATAGGGTCAAATCCTGCCCGGGTCATTTAGAGTTCTTGGTGATATATACGTATGTATATACACACACCAGAAAAATTGTTCTGGCAAAAATGTTTTGCCAGAAACATTTTTCCGGCAAAAAATCAGTGGGTTTCAGATAAGCGGTCATAAAAATATAAATAATATATAGGTATATGCGGAAAATCCACAGAGAAAAATGAAATGAGGTGAACGTTTCGGCTTTGTTAAAGCCTTTGTCAACACCAGACTGACTGGTGATCTTCTTATCTTGAGTCAGTCTGGTGTTGACAAAGGCTTTAACAAAGCCGAAACGTTCACCTCATTTCATTTTTCTCTGTGGATTTTCCGCATAAAATGATCAGTGTTGTGTGATCGTCAATTGCATATAGGTATATATTTGTTATTTATTTTTATTTATCTGAAGCCCACTGATCCAAATATTTGGGTTCTCCAGCAAAGATAGTGGCCGGGTATTGAATGTGGCAAAATTTTGCCATATTTGAATAGCAATTTGGATAACCAAAGAGCATACAGGCATTGGGCCATACAGTACTGTATTAATCCCATGTAGGATTATGGGGTATGGGAGGAATCTGAAACCTGACTCTGGAATCCCAAGGACATGTCATCACTTCAACAACAGCTGAATTTATACTATATACAGTACTAGATGAATATTAAAATAATTAGTACAAGTTTAAAGATATCTTACTTAAATTCCTGCAGATGTCTATAGTCATCAGTATACTGTATATATAAATAAATTGGCAAGTTTTTACTATACAGAATTTGTATTACTTTTATATTAAAAATCTTTATTTATATATTATTTGCATTTGAATATATGCAGTGATATATCCTATTTTTTTGCTATAAAATTCTCAAACATTTGGTGATAAAATATCCCCAAAAAATGCTCAATATTTAGAAATGTGGATTATTCATGACCCTGGCTCAAGGTTCACAAGAATAGGGTCTTGGTATCGGAGGATCTTCTTATCTCGAGATGATTTCGGGGCTTTTTTAGTGTCCCCGCGGCCCGGTCCTCGACCAGGCCTCCACCCCCAGGAAGCAGCCCCGTGACAGCTGACTAACACCCAGGTACCTATTTTACTGCTAGGTAACAGGGGCATAGAGGGAAAGAAACTCTGCTCATTGTTTTTCGCCGGCGCCTGGGATCGAACCCAGGACCACAGGGTCACAAGTCCAGCGTGCTGTCCGCTCGGCTGACCGGCTCCCTAATACACTAATGTCAAACCAGACATCAACTCCTAACAAGTTGTAACGTATACCGGGATACAGAATGAGAAAGATATGAATATCCCATAACAAAGTACTCGATAGTTCTACTGTAGCTGCACAAAATTTGTCTTCAAATTTAAGTGAAAGATCATATTAAATTTATTTCTATTTACAAACAAAAATATGCTTAGATACCTTTCTTGGTGCATATTGAAGGCTACTTACTATGAAGAGCTGAACAGGCACAATTATTAATACCGTACTGTATGTCAACTTCACTCTTTTTTTTCTCTTTTTTTTTTTAAAGATAGTCTTGAATCACTTACCCCAAGCTTTTCTTTTGAAGATCTAAACTACTGTAAGCTTTAAATACATATAGCCAAGTGTAATCGTCTGCTGCCGTCTTAATGTCACACACATTTGCTGATAAGTGAAAGGTTTGCCTTCTGCACAGGCTGTTATCCAGAAATGAGTTATGTTAATTTGTAAGCACACAAAAAAGGCATCTACTTCAATTTGGACAAAACTGTAAATCAAATTTGACTTGCCAAATAATATTTACCTGCAACACAAAGTAACTCGCCAATTTGGAGTTCTTATTGTGGGTTGGTTATCATGAAATTTGCAAGTACTGCAGTACTGCACCAAGTAACTTAAAACTTTGCCAAATTACCAGTTAATATCAATTGGCATGTCACATTTCAAATGTTATTCTAGGATAATTAAAAAAAAAAAGCATGGTGTTGCCAATGATTGAATCTCTTGATCCAGGATGATAACACTACTGCGTACCTCTCGGCAATGTACCAAATGGAGTTGAAGATTCTGAGAACAGTGTATCGGCATCAGAGGTGTCTCGGGAAACACTGCGGGTCCATATCGGAGAGCTGAGTCCCCCTAGTGTGTCATCATCCCGCCCAAGGCTACTACGCGACATAGTCTCGGAGATCCTCCTGTTAATTGCGATTCTAAGTTAGCAAAACATAAAGTTGTAAAATACATTACCCTTAGTTGTGACTTGATATATATTATAGAGGAAAATATTAGATAAAGCTTTTCATGCTTTACATACAGGCATCCTCTCATGAAGCTGAAGGTAAGCTTAGTACAAGTATGGTAGTGTCCTCTTCTTTATATAGCATACAAGTACAGTACTGTGCTCACAACAATTCTTGGAATAATTCCAATACATTACCATTAACTGATATTGTATATTTGTTTACTGCAGTACTTCCAAATTTCATGATTACTGAAGTGTATGTTACCACTCATCACTTAATAATACCATTGTGAAATAAGTGAAAATATATATATACTGTATTAGATATATAAGGAAGCTGAATGTCTACCTGCTCCAGTATTTGCCCTCAGGTGTATATCCCATCAAAAAAATTAGTCACATCAGTGTATTATATGCCAACATGTTTTGTAAGCCTGGAGCAAGATATAGTCATTGACCCTATACAGTATTTGAATGCCACTATTCATTTGAGTGGGAGTGCCGGTATATTGTATATGATTTCATAAAGCCATAATCATGTTTGGCATGAGCCCTTGGACATGACATCAACCAAATCAATTATCTCATCCCACAATAGACTTCTATAACCTAAATGGTAGTGTCACATTGCCTTCCTAATCTAATGAATGATAATAAAGCTCCATGAAAGTATACTGGAATGAAGAAATATAATTTCAAGAGCAATGAAAGATGCAATAAGATGAAAACAGTAAGGCATTTACATGAATCCAGATCTAGTGAAAGGTAGACCACCCCCCACACCCACCCCTATCTCCTGTCCGTGGCTCATCAAGTGACGTTCCCGTCCAAGTAGCTCAAGGAGACTCAGTGTATCAGACTCATGAAGTAACAGCAGCTATTATCACTACAAATATCCCTGACATTTTAAGCAGAGCACCAGATCATTTTTTCAGGAACATAAATGTGTTCATTTGTAAGTATGGATGGTCTGGCATTTTGAACATGCTCAGATTTTATGTCAATGACTATCCTATATGTAAGTTCTCTACAAGGCATTTCTGACCCTTCAATGCTGCAAGGCAAGTTGGCAAAAATCCAGTGTTCAATGTAATAACGCATCTCTTTCTGGTAGGGCCCAGGTGGCTCCCTCAAGCTATGGCGGCTTCCTCCAGAAAATGCCTGAAACATTTCACTGAGTGGATCTTGCAATTTTATATAATTATGTACCTTGTAATCAATTTAAGTTAACAAAGACATCACATTTAAATTTTTACCCCAATTTATACATGTTTGAAATGTCTTGTACCAAATGCTGTAACTGGTTATCACTTGACAAGTGACATTAAGCATGAAATTGGTAACATTCTTAAAGTTGTCAGAACAGGGCAATTTAATATTTATTACTTTTATTTGTAGCATGTTAAAAGTATTGTGACTGCATTTTCTATGATTATTTTGTATAGCTAAACAAAAAAAAACATTTAAAAGTCAGACATCGGTCGGGGTACTGGACCTGGCAGGAGAATCCCGTGGTGAATTGTAGAGAGATGACCAAAACCCTGAGGAAGCAGAGTGTGCTGCTCCAATCCCGGCACTACTTGGGGCCATGTTAGGTTCTGGAGTAGGTCGATTTGATGATCGCCGACTCCTTTCAGTTCTGATTTCATCGGCGTTCATCTTACGAGTTAGTGAACGAACTCGGTTGAGTAACGTTGAAAATAAGGATTCGGCTGTGAGAATTTGGAAACCATCATCTTCATCCTCCTCTTCTTCCTCTCCCGCTGAACTGAAGCTTTCACTGTGATCTAACAGGAATGCTCGTCCTCTGCTGTACAGTTACAAGATAAAAAGAAGACGTGTTACCATATACAGTATGCTAATAAAAATCAAATATCAAGTCAAATACTTTCTTAATATTTTGTAAGTCTTTAGTTTTGTAGAAAGTAAGTCTGCAGCAATGACACCTTGTTTTATTCATCTACACACCATTCAGCTTATCACTACCTTTGGTATTCAGTTAAGATAATTTTTTTTTACTTTCTGTGATAATGTGCTTACCATTCAATGTTCATGGGGGAGTGAGATTTTGCTTTTGGAGCTGTGTGTTATGTATGTATAACTTTTTACATCTTACAAATACATTGATTATGTGCTAGGAAATGACTAAGAATGGAGTAATAAGAATAATTATACATGTAATATATTTGTCAATTTGATATAAAGATAGCCACGTGCTTTGCGAACGCTATGTATCCGAAACTTCCAATTTGCTGATCGGGGTTGGATCGGTTATTCAAGTTCAGGAAGCGCGAGGTTCGCATAAAATAGTTTGGGTTTCTCATCGGGCAAATGTCTGCCAGGCCTCGCAGCCTGGCAGGTGGTCTACATAGCCTACTTTGCCCCCTGACCGTGTCAAGCGCCACCCTAGTGCCTTCTACCCTGTGACATCACAGATTCATGGCCCATTGTTTTGATTTGTCACAAGACTGGGGTGTTCATTCTGTGACTTTGTTGGATATATCGGCACAATCTAGAAACATTCGTGCACCATATCAGCTCGAAATGCACTATAATTTTTTACTATTTCTCTAGAAGTGAAAGTGCAAAATAGAAAGGTAGTAAGTAAAGCAAAAGTGGAGAGTGTTGACAATGCAGTGTGGGAGTCGTACAAACAGTAGCGTGAGGAGACGAAGAAGCCAGTGACAGGCTGGCTGCTCATGGGAAAGGCATGTGAATTTCACCAAGCAATGAAAATTCCCGAGAAGTATGTACAGTATACAGTGATGGACGGCTCTGAAGCTTGAAAACCTGCCATGGCATTAGGTTCATTAGAGTACATAGTGAAAGACAGTCTGCTGATGCTACTGGTGCTGACAAGTATTCAAGTAAATTTGCAGAGATGGTGCAGGAACAAAATTATCTCTAGAGCAAATTTATAATAATGACGAGACAGGTTTGTGCTGGCATGTTACCCACAGACACAATGGCTCACAGTGGTGAGAATGATCCTTCAGGTGGTTATAAGCAGAACAAACAGAGTTTCTTTGTTGTGCTGTGTGAATGCAGCTGGCACGCACAAATTGATATTAATTGTGATTGGAATTAGCAAAAACCCCATGACTTTAAAGTCAGCTAGGTGCCTCCCTGTGATTTATAAGAACCAGTCAAGTGTGTGGATGTCTCGAGTAATATTTGCTGAGTGGTTTAATAAAAACTTTGTACCCAAGGTGAAGGAGCACCTGAAAAGTGTTGGCCTCTCACAAAACAGCCAAGTTGTGCTGCTGCTGCTAGATAATATTGCAACGCATCCACGAGGTGATGAGCTAGTAAATGGGAATATCATTGGAACATTCTTACCACCTAATACAACTTCACTGATCCAACCCATGGATCAAGAGATAATTAAGAACCTTAAACACCACTACAAGAGGATGTTTGCCAGACATCTTAATAATCAGCCAGGGGATAATTAAGGACTTTTATAAAGTCTTCACAATAAAGTCAGCTATGTGGGCTATTGCTAGTGCATGGGACGAGGTAAAGCAAACAACACTAAGAAATGATTGAAAAAACTTTGGCCTACATCAAGTCGGTTTCCTGAGGAAGACGACAAAGCACATTTTGAAGGATTTGTGGCGAAGAAAGTTAGCAAGAGGAAAAAATTAAGAGGAACTCCTACCCTATGTCAAGGGGATTAAGTCCCCAAAACTGAGAGCAGAACTGGTTCTTCCTGTGAACGTCCCCATGACCCGGTCCTCGACCAGGCCTCCTTTTTAATGTACAGTATGTACATGTACATACACACACACACACATACTTATTTACTATCTCTGCAGGCACAAATAGTAAACACATTATGGGTGTCTATCATGTTGTCTCCTGTTATGATTCCAGTGTGGTGTTCTTCCTTCAGGATTTACTGGACATAATGTGCAGGCTTTGTGTTTATATTTTGTCCATGGGTTATTCTAGTCAGATCTAATCACTCCTAATGGGGCTAACTAAAGTATGTACTTTAAAGTAATTAACTAACTAAAGTATGTACTTTAATTAATTAACTTAGTTAATTAATACTGTTAATTAACTGTACTTTAAGTAATTAACTAACTAAAGTATGTACTTTAAAGTAATTAAAGCTAACCGAGTATGTACTCCTCATATTATGGCTTCTTTGCTGGTATCCCTTACACACATTAAAATTAATGAAACAAAGGTATCAAAATATATATGAACATTCTCTTTTGTGAACAGAGTTGTAGAAGGTTGGAAAAATTTAAGTGAGAAGTTGATATTAAAAACCAACAATTGTTTCAGAGCGTCATTTAACAAAGATTATTGGGAAGACGGGACACCATGAACGTGGCTCTCGACCTGAAACTACACTTGGGGTAATTACATGCAAGACCTCCCTATTCATTCATCTCCTTACACCTGCAAAACTTTCCTGACACTCATCCATTTTATACCTGCAAGACTTCTCTATCCATTTTTTCCATACCTGCGGGACCTACCCTTTATTGTGTTATAAAAAAACTTCCCTCCATTTATTCATTCTGTATAGACGCACCAGAGTTCATACTTCAATACACTAGAGCCAAATCTAACATGCCAGGCATCTGTGGCCATCTCATAGCCTACCAGAAGCAGGTACCACAATCCTACTCCCCCTCAATGCAGAGGGCCATAATACTCTATACACATCAAGGGACCCCCCAACCCCCTGCCAACATGGATATTCAGTACCTAAGCTGGAGCTGAAAAAAAAGCCTGGTATTTATATATAAACAATCAAACATTCATAAATACAGTCACAGTGTGACTGTAATAGTTACTCATAACACAGTTATGCAACAACAGCTCCAAGCTCCAAGTTGCTGCTCCAAGCAACAGCCTGGTGGACCAAACTCTCACAAGTCAAGCCTGGCCTCGGGCCGGGCTTGGGGAGTAGAACAACTCCCAGAACCCCATCAACCAGTCACAGCATGACTATGACACGGGTAGGTGCTCATTTTTCTTGCTTTTCACAAATTTTCGAATTACATTCTTGCATCACATTTATTTTATACATTTGCAGCAAGAGTTCTAAGTAGTAATTCCTATGTAACTTTTATCATAATGAGGAAAATTGGATAACATTAGGACATATCCTTATTTTTTCCTATACAACATCATTTATTTTGTTATAATTCACATTGCATGAGTGAACTATAACTCATGCAAAGAACAAATCAGAACTATATCCTCCAGCCTGTCACATGAGATTAAAAAATCATTTAGTTGCTGAATAACACACAAATAGGATCAGTAACACTTTGCAGTTCAGTAATTCAATACGACTGTTAACTGCTCACAGTCAAATTTGACTGTGTTCAGACCATGCAGACATTCAGCAAAAGCTCATAAGCCATGCAAGAAGAGCCAATACCTGTTAGTGTGAGAGAGCCGTCGCTGCCACATGGGCACTGTTGCCAGATCAGTAGGAGCTCTACGTGGTAGTGGTGGGCACGACACAGTACCTGTAGGCGACAGTGTGTCGCTTTCTCCCTCACCTTCCGTCATCCCACTGCTGAGCCCAAGTCGCCAAGCACGAGCAGTCATTAGCAATAGCAAAAGCTCTAGTGCAGTAAGCATTTAGTCCTTAAGAGCTTTCATTCACAATTAAAATAAAACTTTTAAAGTCTTTAAATGCTACATAATGAACTCTGCTAAATGGTGAATACTTGTAAATAAAGTCTTTCAATTATATAAAGCCAAAGGTGACACACAATTTTTCAGTCTACTATAACTCAACAACCCAAGAATTCAGTGTTATTTAAAGGCATCCAAGACAAAATTCATATATACCTTCATAATTAATGATGAAACCCTTTGAAAAAATCATATTATAAAAAAGTTAAAAACGCCCGTTTCTCGGCAGTGCCTTGGTAGCCCTCGGCCATATGCTCTGGTTCCTACTGGACACTGACAATTATACAGGACTGAACACAACCTCTACAAAGACACGCAACCTTGTTTGTCGTCTTGTTTCCCTAAGAAAATTGGACGAAGAGCTAGTTCAGGGAGATGATAAAGAACAAAGTCATGCAGAGGTCAGTTGGCCTTTGGCAACACATCTGTAACAAGGCTATGGATGATCAGGCACATCAAAAGATGCCATGAGATCAGCCACTGAAATACCAATATTAAAAAGATTAAAGTTACATATTGCCTTTATTCACGTGCACTAAGTTAAGCTTGGGGTTAACCGAGTTTAACCATTCAGTGAATTATTTGTGATGAGCAAACCTTAATACATGGGAAGGGGGGTTTTGGGGTTAATGAAAAGTTCAAGTGAATTAGTGTCCCTAAGATGAAACCACAATCGACTTGATAATGGTCCAAGACGAACTGAAAGGTTGTCATCTCCTCATCTTCTGGTGTGTGGTTTAGTCTTCATATCTTCAGCCACGTTATTGTGACCTATTGTCTGTAGTGTCCAAAAAAATTTACGAGCAGCGCCCACTGTGCAGAATGTGTGGTAAATAGACAGCCACATGAACCATGCCTCCACCACAAGAGCACTTATAGTAATTTGTGAGAGGAGCTACAGACTCGTGGGTCCCCATTCCAGTGATTATAGACATTCTAATTCCTGCTAGTGCTCTGTAGCAGTTAATGGGAACGGGGAAATTCATGACAGTCAATGTCTAATTTTGGGCCAAGAATGAAGGCTGTAAAAGTAAAAATCAATCACCTGAACCAAAAGACAGAACACCTAATGCCCCAAGTTGGGAGAGAACAGCGATGAACTAACAAAAGAAACAGAACGCACGCCACAAACATCTCAACATTGTGACACACCTGTCTCCAGCAAAAAGAATTGACACCACCCACAAAAATTGCAAGCAGCCAGGTTATCCAAACAATAATGGGCGAGTTTTTCCAGACTAATAAAAAGAAAAATTTGACATTATATTTTGCATGCATAATATTCCCAGCAATAATTTCTGCATACAGCCACGTAAACAAGATTCAATAGTTAAACCTTAACCCCTGCACTGTGCAAAGCGTCTTTAGGCGCTCTGAGAGTTGTGCTATTTATTTTAATTAGGCTATATTTTAATGTTTTCATTACTCTTTGTGTTTTTAAATGAAAATAGTTGAGTTTGGAAACATTTTGACATTAAATTTACCTGAATATTTATAAAAACAACAAGAATATGTCCTTGACAATTGCCCCAAGAAGTTTTTGCCGAAACCAGGTGTGCAGTGCAGGGGTTAAGTAAGTAGAATTCCTTATTTTTATTAATGAAATAACTTTGCTGCAAAGCTCTTGACTAGAGAACAAGAACCCTCAACCCTCCTCAACCCTCGGCTCCAGTGGAGCCACCACCTGGCGGTGTTGGGGTTTCATTAGTTCAGAATGAATCTTCGAGACAAGACAATCTGCAAGGATACTTAAGAGCCTTGAGTAATTGTCACTTAGGAACCAGAACATATGCTTAGAGAAGCTACTGAGGGGTCCTTGCAGAAAAATAAGCATTGTGTTAAGTTCTTCAGTACAGTAGTTGGATTTACAATTTCAAGCATGTTGGAGATAGTACTATTCTACATATGTTAAGGGGTACATGATGCAGTATACCTGCATTCTATGCACGCATGAAGTTCACCACTTTGTGATGCTTGTAATGCCAGTTTCATTTAGTTTGACACTGGAAGTGGTCAATAGAATATTACGATTAATGGCGGAGAGATTGTATTATTTATTTCCTTAAAACTAAATAGGTCATCAGAGATACTGTATTTGTTTATCATGCAAGGAAAATTTAGTTATCGTGTAAGAGACAGTACTGAATAAAGATATCTAGTAATGAACCTTAGAAGTTCATAACAACTAGATATTTAGTATAAATAGAGGTTGCACAGGCAACATAGACACAAGCTTATTTTATTACAAAGTGCTGTGGCAGCATGCGGGCCTAGTACTGTACAGAGCACACCTCGATTCATATCATGCAGTACTCTTAACATTTAAATTTATTTTATTACATTTTAGCCACACGCAATGACTTACACCTTGGTAGTTTTTCCACATTTTCTTTACTCTTGACTATATATTTTTTGTAAATTTTATCACATTTAGTTCATTCAATAACTCTCATTTTTCTATTCACTACCTTCCATTTATTCCCCTTCAGTATGCATTTTTGGCCTTCCTTTTGCTTTAGTTGAATTTAGTTTATCCGTGGAAACATTTGTGCATATCATATAAGTGTTGCGAGCAAATGGCAGTCATTCTCCTCACATGAGAGTCAAGCAGCACTTACAACTCTCCAACAAATGCTTTAAGCGTTGTTCCTAAGGTGTTACAGTCAGCAACTAAATCTATCTGGAGGAATATTGTGCATGCAGGCACTCCTCATGTCTAGGCAGGAGCAAAGCATCGACAATATAGATAACGAGATGAGTAAACCATATCATCTTTGTCATTTTATATCATTTCTGCTCACCATATTTGCATGAGTGTAAGTTACAATTTTTGTTTTTCCAAAAACATTATACAAAAGGAGGGATGAAGCTTACAAAAGAATGTAAAGCTTATGATAAATCTTTGTATGATAAAAATAAATTACTGCATTGGTTAAATAAAAATACTGACAAATTCCGGAAGGGATTGGTAACGTATTGCACGATAGTCAGCCACCAACTGAGCTACTGTATTAGTTTACCTCACTGCCTTATGAAAAGTTATATTTCTGATTTTAATATGAGTAAACTCTTAATTTCTTCTAAATTTATCTCTACTTGAAATAGAAACATAATAACCCAACTTGAAACACTGACATCAAAACACAAGCAAGGACATGAGGCCGGCTTCTCTCAAATGGTTTACAAATCAAATATATAATACAATATGATTAAAAGTAAATATTTTGAAATTACTATTAAAAATATAAAGACAAATTATTTTTAATTAATAAAAGTGCATTATTCTTCTTCCTAAATATTATACTATAACACTACTCAACACATGCACTTGTTTGCCCTCCTGGACATAAACCAAACCCTACAGGTTACAATTGTGAGAACTTTAAACTCACACAAATATGGGCATTGCAATATATTTGATGCAAACTCATTTTTATTCAAAATCTAAATAAAATAAACTGTGCTTAAAAATATTAAAAAACATGAGTTTCAATAATTCGTCTAGTTAAAAATAAGTGTGTATTGTTTTCCTTTCTAATACTACTGCAATACATTCTTAATACCTCTTGCTAATGTAATTATCATATTTACCACCAGTAAATGAATACCTAAAATTGATAGTTTATTTTTTTCAGAGCTATTGCATTTGGTTGTCCTTACTGCATCCTGTAGCTGAGGGTCACAATAGTTTGGCACGTAACTTTCTCAACACCGATGCCGTAAAGTTGTCAAAGGTAGTAAGAAGGTCATTGTAAATAAACTATATGCAGTTCAGAATAAAAACTAAAACATGTTAACAGTTCTCCATTGTGATCAAACGTGACTGCCAAATACAATATCCAATTAACAGCCTATCACGTACTTGGCAACCTAGTATCCCATGGATGACAACAAAAAGTTGCGCCATCAAACAGTCCCCATACCAACAACTCGCGCATCCTGGCTGCCTTCACGACAAGATATGCAGACGGTTACTAAAAAGCCAGGTGCGACTTTGTTTTGTTCAAAGACAAAGACAAGAACTAAGTCAAGACTTTGTTTTGTTCATCTCAATTATTTGCTGGCATTATTTCCAGTGATGCACAACTGTGGCTGAGGTCTTGAAGTATTTCCACTTCATTAACTTCAAATTCTCTGCACCCTGTGTTGTGTTGCATTTTACTGCTTTAGTAATCCAGATCTTATTTTGACAGGCAACTTGGCTTCTCTCACCTTTTGTTGTCAGCTGTAGGTAAAATTAGGTTAAGAGTGAACTCATCAAGGTTGCACTTTTGTTGACAGGCTCCACCTTATTCCTTTGCTCGGATGTAGTGAATCTGGTTATCTGTGAGGTTTGTAAACCTTAAAGCAGTTCCCCTCCCTATTGTTAGACATATCGTAATGACAACAGCACAGCGAGTGGCAAAAAGGAAGGTGCGACCAGTGTGCTATGTCAGGATGCTAATTCTGACATCTTAGATTCTTAGTTCTAAGATTCACCAATTCTTAGATTCTGATGGGTTATCCCTGTTCTCAACTACACTTTTCCTGCTGATACCTGGTTGATACCTGGTTGATGGGGTTCTGGGAGTTGTTCTACTCCCCAAGCCCGGCCTGAGGCCAGGCTTGACTTGTGCTGTACATAAGATTGTTTTCACTCTAAGGGTCTGTAACCTATGTTGTGAGCAAGTGGATGCTTTGTTCAAGCCCTCATCAGTGCTTGAAGCCTATATAGCCACCATAAGCACAGGGTTTGTGTTGAAATACATGTACTGTACTATCAGGTTCCAGCTTTTGCTACTTTGATGAAGGACCCTCTTTATTTTTAAGGAGGATTGTGTTGTTCTTGTTGATTTGAGAATAATCTGTTCAAAACAGGAAGGCTGCAGCTTGAAGTTTGGCCTTGGCTGCATGAACATCGGGTGCATTAGTTTTCTATTTGCCTGAAAGTGATAGTTTCTGTCCTCATCCTTTGACTGTAAGACCCAAGAGACCTCAAACTTCTTTCACACAGGAAACCAGGAGATGGAGGCTGAAGGTTTGGCAACACTTTGTCCATCGATAGAGTACAAGGGCCTACCATGCATTTTTCGGAACTTCCAGTAACTCCATTTTGGTGGGAGAATCATTCTTTGCTTCATCACTGTGAAGAGGCTTCTGCTATCAAACTTCCTTCATTTCTAACTTCTAGCAATCCTTCTATTTCTGCTCCTTAACAGAGTACAGTAAGTAGGCAGGCTCTTCTCCTTTGGTCAAGGAGGATGTCCCAGCTGAGATTTCAAACACGGAATGGGATGGGGTTTACCTTTTACTAATTTTGGTTTGTATGGTGTTGGTCTAATTGTCATCTCATTAGTCCATCAGCTCTAGCAGCACATTACTGCACTTAATTAAGTCCCCCACTGTTTTTTAATCAGTTATATTGTCCATATGTGTGAGGTTTGCCGTACGAGAAAAGCGAGTGTAATACTTCACAAATAAAGATTTGAAAAATTATGAAAACGCACCTTTAAGTGCAATACTATTCGGTTGCCACAAATTCATTCCTTTCTATCCCTCAATCATATTTACAACCTCTTGTTGCATCAGGAAGAATGTGATGAGTTGTGGATCTGGAGATTATGTTGTCGTGGCATCCTGGAATACTAGGTCGCCAGGCTGCTAGTGGGATGCTAGGTGGCAATCACAACCAACGACAAGAGAAAACTCTTTACGCAGCTCTAACATTGTATGAAATGCACCTCTATCTTTCTGGGCTGTAATGAGCATAAGTTTCTGTCGTCTTTAATGACAATGTAGGGACGTGAAAAATTCCCTTTGGTACTGGTTTTGAGAATGTCACATGTCTGACTATCATGATCCTTGTCCAGATGAAACAGCAGATCTCACCTCAGGGAGGCAACTGAATATCAATGCCCAGAATAGTGTTTTTCATATTAACTCCAAACTGAATTTCTAAGAGCAGACATGCAAAAACAAAATTAAGTGTAATTAAATGAGAAAATAATGTATGAAACACTGTATCTTACTTAAGGGCACTGGGTCTGGAAGACAGTGTGCGTGAAAATGCTTGATGTGCTCGTGCTGCTCCGAGTTCTGCTGCTTCTTCTATGTGAGGCGGAGGCGTAACAATGCCTTCTCCCTCAACTGCTATGGGAATAATTCGTTCTCGACGAGATTTTCTGCCAAATAAATTGTTTCAGGATTTCATTATGCTTTAGACAATAACAGGATGGAGAGAACATTATTCATATTAACAATATGAGGAAGGAATAGTGTTGAGAAACTTGTCAACAAATAGAACACCCTCATAGAGGCACTGAAAAACCTCACTCAGTGTTTTATAGTGTATACTGTATGTTTTGCAAGATCAATAACAAAAAAAACATCATTGCTTATCTCTCCTGTTTATGTGTGTGTAAATATATATATTATATATATACACTGTATATATATATTATATATATACACTGTATATATATATATATTATATATATACCCTGTATGTGTGTATGTCACGAAAATAAACACGTGATTAAGAATGTGACAATGTCAGACCACGGAGGAAAATGAAACAGGAATTTCCTTAAGTACTTTCGTATATTAAATACATCTTCAGAAGGAATCTTCCTTCCTTCTGAAGATGTATCTTCATGGCATCTTCCTTCTGAAGATGTATTTAATATACGAAAGTACTTAAGGAAATTCCTGTTTCATTTTCCTCCGTGGTCCGACATTGTCATATACCCTGTATATATATATTATATATATACTGTATTTTCTTAACAACAATATGCAATATATTTTACCTCTTACATTTTACAATAAAGAACTTCCCTATAAAATTGATGCGCTAGTATAGTCTATATTTTTGCATATATGGAATGATACTGAGCTTATTTTTAATATTACTCTCATTCCATTATTTCAAGCAAGTATGCAAGCTGTGTGTATCCCATCAACCTCTTCTCTAAATAAATTTCCAGTTGTGTTGATTCATTCTGGAAATCTTGACATATTTCATCATATATTGAAGTGATATATATATATTTTTTTTTTAATATTAACCCTGTCTCAGCCTTCATCTAAGATAAACTTATGATATCACCAACACCCAACACTGGCACTCAAAAAGTCATCAGCATACCGTTTCAATATCTGCCATCAAATATAATTTACTATCTGAATAAATTCCAATCTTAATTGTTAGTTAACTCTTCATAATTTTCTCAATCTCTGCTTACATTCATTAATATCCAGCTTACTCTTTCTTTCATCTTCTTTAGTCTCTTAATGCATTACACTAACACCAGAGTTCAAAATGGGACTAGGGGGAAAAAAAATACACACTATTTAAGTGAGTGATACGACACAAATATCATACGTGTTAATTTTGTAAACAACACAGTAGTTTCCTACAAATGACATGGAAATGGAGAGACGTGTAAGGTAGACACAAAAACATAGACCAGGATTTATAAAGTATTTAAGTGTCCACTTGTGAGACCTGTATCTCTCTCCTTGATAAAAGTGACTTACTCAATATGCACTAATTAGATTACAAACTCTGAAGTGTATCATTGTTAACATAATAACAATAATCTGGGTTTGACTTGGAGCTCGTAAACTCTTTAGTCGATTCCAAATAAGCCGCCATGATCAAGGTAATAGGTACAGGTCTCGCAACTGGGCACATAAGAATCCTGGCATTATTTCTAAATGGATTTGACACAGCTACAAGACTGTTAAAGAGTAAACAAGGAAATAATTAAGGGCAAAGGTAAACATTCACTGGAACCAACCTTATTGGTTCGGGTGAGGGATTATATAAGGGTGATCGTGGGTCAGAGGTACATCTGTTGGGAAGCTGGAAAGGCTGTGGTGATGTAACCCTTGATCCTGTAGAGGATGAGGGACCTACAGGCCTGCGAAGGGTAAGATTTCCACATGAATTGAACTATCAACATCCTTGTTTTCTTGGCTAATCTTTGTTACAGCTTGAATTTAAATAACTACAGTGAATCATCACAGTTTATAAAATACCTATTTTGCATAAATATTATACTGAAAGTTATATACTTTTAAAACAAAAAGGCATATTACTGGATGGTTATATAACAAAAGAAAGGTACTGTACTTTCTTTTGTTATATAAGTTTACTTGTAATATAAGTAAACAAAGCAGTTTACTTCTGACAAGGAATGACCGTGGGTTAGAGCAATGATGTACTAAACAATTAAAGAAACATATTACAAGCATGACTAATGACAAAAGAGGAAACAATGTTCTAAATACTGTACACACATTATAGGTAATAATGATTTGGGAATCAATTATTTTGTTTGAAAGCAAGGAGTTTAGTTAGTAGCTCACAAATTATTTTAAATTTAGATGGAGCATTATTAGAAAATGAGGAAGTTAATCAATTATACTGTGCATTACTTACGTGGCATAGATTTGAACACGTCTATAATTTAGGCCTCGGGTAATGTGAAAAGTGCCTCTGAGTAAATGGTTGATTGTTTAAATGACCTCACTTGTTTACCATACATATCAATAATTCCGACAGAAACAAACAGCAACATTTACAAATTTACCAATATAAAATTTGGACAGGACATCCATTCAGAGGACTCTTTACAAGACAAATTATATAACTTTTAAAATGGATGAAAGATCAGCAAATGCAGTTTAATGCTGACAAATGAATTTCTGAGTCTAACTAATATCAGCTGAGCAATGTTGAATTGACAAATCTGAATAAAAAAAATAAAAAAAATCTAGGAGTCATGATTTGTAGAGATCCTAAACTATATTTGAAAAAAGGCCAAGAGGATACTTTGATTCATAACTACAAGCATCGGTAATAAGATGACCAGACCACACATTAGAAAGTGAAGGGACGACGACGACTTGAGAATGGTCCAGGACGGACCGAAACGTCGTCGTCTCTTCACTTTCTAGTGTGTTGTCTGGTCAACATATTTCAGCCACGTTATTGTGACTCCTCGTCTGCATTGGTAATAAGACATCAAGTATTATTCTCCAGCTTTGTCTTGCCCTTGTTAGGCCCCCACCTTGATTTTGCAGGTCATTGTTCACCATGCTATAGAATGTAAATAAATTAATGTGAATGTGTATAGAGGAAGATAACAAGGTAAATCCCAGGAATTAGATACCTTCCTTATAAAAGAAAGATTAAAAAACATAATTTACATTCTCTAGAAAAGGGGTGAAAAGTAAGGGGTGACATCAATGACATATATAAAAGGATTAAATAGTATAACAAAGTGTATATTAATTCAACATAAAATAGAACATGACTCAATGGATCCAAATTAGCTAAGTTTAAATTCAGAAAATACCTGCATAAATATTCCTTTGGGAATGGAGTTGTCGATTTTTTAACAGATAACCAAGAATGAACAGACTCGGGATCGCAGGAGTGTTTCAAGAGAAGGTTAGATACATACATGTGGACGAGTGAGCCTGGTTGCGAATAACTCGGCGATGCCTTGCTTGGCTTCATATTTCTTCAGTTCCTATGTTCTTATGTCTTAAAAAAGTTCCACTGTATCTATTAGATAGAAATATGCAGTTAGATAACTGCACTTCTCTCGAGTTAACTCTGACTATTGCAGATCCTTGGGATTTGGTCCCTGCCTGCAGGAATTAGTGTTGCTCGTGCATCTTGCGGGTTCTTTCAGCCAGACTTGTGAGATAGCTGCCAATACTCATAAAGTCACGGGCAAACCAACAGAGCCCAAGTCCAGAACCACAATGGCATGGAGCTTGAGAAACCTAAGGGTAAGGGGTAACATCCCCCACGTCAAGACACACAGCCCACCAACCACCGAACAAGGTGCCCAAAATAAAACACAGGTACAAAACCTAAAAATCCCAATGTACACAAACTTGGGGACTGCAGGGCACATAACCCAGGAACCCCTTGGGCCCCCCCCCTTCCCTGGCTGACAGACACTGTAAATACTACCAGTGAACCCCTGGGAATACAGCTTGGGAACCACCAGGAATGCAACTTGTAAATTACTAAGAATGTAGACTGGAAACCACCAGGTGTACACCTTCCCTGGCTAACAGACACTGTAAATACTACCAGTGAACCCCTGGGAATACAGTTTGGGAACCACCAGGAATGCAACTTGTAAATTACTAAGAATGTAGACTGGAAACCACCAGGTGTACACCTTCCCTGGCTAACAGACACTGTAAATACTACCAGTGAACCCCTGGGAATACAGCTTGGGAACCACCAGGAATGCAACTTGTAAATCACTAAGAATGTAGCCTGGAAACCACCAGGTGTACAGCTCCAGGTAAGCAAGAGGTTGGGTGTTTAAATGTCCTTTGTGTATCCCTCTAACAAAGGACTCCTTTCATGAAAAATTAATAAAACAAATAAAAAAATCTTTCACATATTAAATGTTTTAAGCATGTTCTTTAAAGGCATTTATCACTTTAAGGTTTGTGTGTATATAATTGAAATTGATTATTGAGTGAAATTGCACAGGAAAATTATATATATATATATGTGTATTGCTACCCTTTAAGTCCTGTATACCATAATGTTAAGACATCATCAGACATTTGTTCTGTTAAATGTAAAATATTTGATTATTAGTATAAAGACTTGTTGCAGCTCTTTACCTATCATTATGGGGAAGACTTTCACTTGTGGTAAGATCATCATCGTCATCATCATCATCATCTTCCAGCATGATGGGAATGATACGCTCTCTCTTTGCTCTTTGCAGATGAGAATCTCCCAATCCGTGCACGCACCCGACATTGTGACGAACCTGGATATAAATCAAGGAAAATATTACATTCCTACGAGTATCTTCTTTGGAAGTATAGTGTTTGTAAACTTTTCTTTGTCTTTACTTTTTCCTTTACACTTTTTTCTCTAATGATTATTTTGATTTGTCACAAAAACATTATGAACTCTCAGACAAGAAATCTAGTTATTGGAAAATCATTAATGCTAATACACATACAGTACTGTAATTAGATTCGTGTACTAGTGAGGGCTCTCTCGTGTATTGGTGCTAGTGCTTTCCTAAAATCTACACAACCCCTTAACTAGATGCAATGTTCTACTTCATTCTGATCTTGCTTCTAGCTCCTCAACATCAACTCGACACCAATCTTGCACTGCCACCTTACTCCAATATAACGTCTAACAATATACAGTTCTAATTTCACTTTTGCAGTAAGCCTCTTTTTCCAGGAACTCACTTCTGATCTATACTCCTGAGTTTTGGGAGTGTCCTTTGAGGTAGGAGGAGAAGTCAACTTGATTTCAGCGTATGATGCTCTCTTGTTAGCTAGGTCTGGCTCCGGCACATCGGGTTTCTTGTTATTGAGAACAATTTCTAGTTTGGTCTTTTTGCGTTCAGCATCCTTAGCTTCTTGTGAATTCAGGTTGGTCTCAGCCGTCCCCTATAATTTGGAATAAACAAATCTTGCATTGAAGTCATTAAACAAATCCAACAGATTAAGTGCACTCCAAAAGAAGAATGTTTTTGTTTTTAGAAAACCTGGAAAATAATGATTTAAAACAAAATTCTTACATAGGAGAACACATGAGTAAACTTATTTATTGTTAAATAGAGTTAATTAGCATTTATATCAAAAGATAAATTATTAGCATAATACACGGTTTGAAAATTAAACGCAAGAAAAATTTGTAAAGGAATCGGCATATCATTAACTTAAGACAAGTTTCCTTCACTGATAAAGGTGGTAATCTAATCTTGTTATGTTAGCACAATATAAAATATTTTTAATAGGTAACAAATACACCCTAGTATCAACTATTAGGCACACACACAAAAATTACTGTTAGCCTTCATTCAAAAGAAATAGATGTGAAAAACTTACGCTCCTTCTTTCTAATGCATTTTAGAGGGGGGCCCAATTCTTAAGGTTTCATGCCAGTGTCCTGGTATTATCATATATAAGCTGTATGCCCAATTGCATCACTCCAAAACTATGTGCGGTCCTCGTATTGTTACCTCTCGCTCCCGCTGTATCAACCTCTTGCTAAACTTCCCCTCTACCAAAGTTTACATACCTCAGCTCTTTAGACTAGTTAAGTAATATGTGCTCAAGGCTTTTGGAGGACCAACCTAATCTTAGCAAAGAGATATCTACTAAAGCCTCTGGACTCTGAGCAAGTCCAGAGACTTTAACAGGTATCTACTAACATTCCCCCGCCTGCATTGATAGCGCGTTGGTGGTCTACTTCCCATTAGTCTTCTTATCAGTCAGCATGCTGCTTGCTCTCAACTGAGTGCCCTTTATTTATTATATTTCATTATCTGTATTTAATTTTCATTCATCCAAGTGTAATGAATCTTAGTACTGTATAGATATTGTATGCAACAGTGTAGAAATACAGCTTTAAGTAAATATGAATACTGTACAACAGTTCTGAAGAATGCCGTCTGGCTACCCCAGGTCCCACCCTTTTTCCTATTCACAACATGGCTGTGTGAATATCACAGAGAAAATGATGACCTGGGGTTTGGAAATTGTATTGTGGTGACAATACTGCAATCTGGTAGTGGTTAGGGATACTAGGTAGGAAGTGCATTGTTAAACGGAAACCTCTTTTGGTAGTTATACTTTCATCAGAAGGGACAACTTGTATACAGCCTTGAATTTGCATGAAATGCACCCTGGTAGGTTATTCCAGGCCAGGTTGAGCTTATCTCTAGTAGTCCCCTAGCACCTTTAATGACCTCCCAAGAACTGGTAGAAAAAATTCCTGGGATGCTGGTAGCGAGAATATCTTATGTCTGAATGGTATGATCCTTGTCCACAGATCATGGCTGATCACCTTTAGGAAGCAACCAAATGGCACTGCTCAGACAGGTATGTTTCATATTTATTCAAAGCCATATTTTTCTATGTGATTTTGATATCAAAATATTACGTGCCCAAATATACACTCTTATTATTTGTGCTAATAAAATAAAATTGTATACTGTACACATAAATATAACAAAAACAATAAATACCACTACACACTGGCAGAACTCTTGTCTAATGGATAGGGTCTAGTCCCAATTAATCCACTGGGTTGAGACTTCGCTGTTTATAATATATACTGTCTTGTACATGCGCATACATGCACTATCTAGAAAAGAACACATTCTACATAGAGCACGTTGTCTATTCACATTGGAAAAAAAGTATAAACAAAAATTCGAGCAAGACATTTTGAGCAGTGCGCTTACAACCAAACTACACCTCTCGTGTCTTAAAAAATTGTACCAAGACAAACTATGAATGGAACATCATAGCACAGCTTGGAGTTCTCTTAACAGCTATAGCTTTTCTCTCAGGTATAGTTAGGGTAAGGCTCCATGGCAAATTCTCAAGCTACAGATATGGAGTTCACTGAAGTCCTGGCATGAGGTGAGGCAACCATATTTGTTGAATGTCTCAATGTCTTGGCCAGTCTATATCCTAACCTGCTGTTCAAAAGTGCCCAGAGTAGTGGTATTAACTGATATATCTTCATGTGATGATCCAAGAACTTCTTGTGGTGGGATGGCATGGATCTCCTTGCTTACTGGTCGTTGTTCAGCAATTGGCGAGAGCGGGCACTCGTGAGCCGTGCCGTGCTCTTCCTCGATATTTTCAGGAAGGTTACGAGCCAAGGAATCGCGAAGCATCTTTATTTCCTGCTCTTCCTGTAATTTCAACACTTACCTCAGAAATGGGCAGTTTTGGGAAATGGGAATTTCGGGCAGAGACCCGCCAGAAATGCTATGCGTGCTAGTGGCTTTACAAGAATGTAAGAACGTTTGTATACATAAATAAATAAGAAATATCACTATAATCTCTTAAATATGCAACACCTGACACTTACAGTATGATTTTTGTTATTAGCAAAAATATTATTAAGCCAAGCAATAACATTGTTAATAAATATCTGTAGTGTTAGAACTGGCTTCATCAAAAAAGGTGAAAGAAACATATTTAGAACTTTCCAATACATGTGATCTTAAAATTAATGAGAGTGCAGTTACTGAAGCCAAGAACATTGCCATGAAAATGACTTACTATTGTCAGTGATATGGGTAAATCCTTTTTACCACATTATCAGAGACATTGTTACTATACAGAAATAGCCTGACTTTACTCTTGTTAAAATGTGATGAAAACTCCCAACCATATACAAACAATGCAACCAATCAGACTAGACAACATCTTGGATTTTATTTTCACAAACAATGAATAAATTATATGAAATATGATACTAAACTGCTTACTATGATCACAACTTAATCAAAGTCTAGATTTTCATGTACAATAAACCTACTTAGCCTGATATAATCCTCTCTAAAGAATAATTCAGCCTATTATATTTGAATCATCAATTATTATTATTACACCATTTCACACTTTCCTGAGATTTAAAAGAAATAGTAACCGAGAACAAACTAATAACGATCTCAGACGTGAGAGTCTGAGATCGTTCAGCGTGCATAACATGGCCCTAAACCAATGTCTGGAGAGGATAAGCACAGTGGCACTAAAGCACACCATTAACAAACAGATGCAAGCTAGAAATAGAACTATGGTCTCAATAGAGGTGAAGAAAACCAATTGTCAAATTTACATGTATTTCGAGCATCGTGAAAAGCCAAAGAGAGGGTTTAAAGCCATTAGTGAAAATTAAAGAACCAATATTTATTCCATACAAACCCACAGCAAAAATCACTTCTAATATTGGTAATGGAAGATGGAATATTCCTCAATGACAACAAAGAAATTAGCTAAATTTTGAGGATACATTAAAACAGTGTTCAGTGAGCCACTAAACACTATAGATTAACAACAAAAATTTTTGTATGAATGCAAGACCAACCTCAATTCACATCACTCTACCCCACTGAACTCTGGAAGCAGCCATAGGCAGATGTCATTCTGCGGAGGTGGCAGCAAAGTAATCACTAACATACAATAATACCAATCCTTGCAAGACATATGAAGCAAGTTCACATAATCTACTTAATCCTGGGCAACATGGGCTTAAAGCACAATGCTCCTTTCTCTCATAGTTGCTGGGCCACTATGATCTTGGATGGTCTTGGATGCAGTGAAAGCTGAACTAAAGGCCTACACAGACTTGACAAAAACCTCAATAAAAGTGGCCATGGTATCATGTCAAACGTGCACAATAGAAATAACTGGAAAAGTAGATAGATCTAAACTCCCTAGCAAAGCAGTCGCAATATGCAACGGTCAACACAATGAAATCAGAACCCCTTGTGAAAAGCTTATTTCCCCCCAGTGTATTAAACTTTCCCCCAATGCTTTCTCATTTTTATACATGTGATTGACAAATACAAATTAGAGCAATACCTTGAAAATCATAATCATATTGTTCTCAACCTGAACCAAATCCAGAACCGCAAATAATCAGGATTTCTGAATAACTGCCCTTTTGTGGACATTCATCACAAAATTCTGCAAATTTTTCTTAGAGAAAATTATACATGTTTTTATATATTTAGATACAAATAATTTATAATCAACGAATATACAGTGGTACCTCAGTTTTCATATTTAATCCGTTCCCAGAGACGATACGAAAACTGAAACAAATTTTCCCATAAGAAATACAGTAATGTAAATTGAATTACAGTAATCAGTTCCACTCCCCCAAATATATTAACTAAAAAATACATTTTATACAGAATAATACTCTTAGGTACCTTACCTTTATTGAGGACTCTTGTTGGTATATGGAAGACAGTGAGGAAGGGGGAAGGAGGAGAGGTGTGTTTGGAAGGGGAGTCCCCTTCCGTCATAACAGCAGTGATGACATTTCTGGGGTACTCTCTGTCTGTTACGTTTTGCAGGCATACTACTAGGACCTGGTTGTGGCTCACTGCTTGCTTGTCTTACTAAGAACCTGCCTATAGACACTTGTTTTTCCCTACGTTTTAACACTTACCTGTAGTGAGACATCACATTGTCTCACTATGAATGACCTCTTGTTTTTTCTCTATCGTCATCCTCACAACTATTTTCTTAGGTTGAACATTACCACTGACTTTCTTGGAACCCATGGCATTTGTAATAAGAACTTTTATGTTCAGAAACCAACGCAGCACAAAAACAATGAAATTTTCTTCACAAAGAATTCAAACACGATCATCACTAGGAGGGAGACACTGATAAACCGAAGCACCATGCACTCGGTGGACCTGCACGTATATAAACTCCGAAAACCGAGGTAAACAATAAGAACCAAATCAAATTTTTTGAAGAAACCGAGTACGAGAACCAAAAAATATGTAAACAAGGGCATACAAAAACTGAGGCTCCACTGTATTTGTATACAAAATAAATAATTTAAATAGTGGTGCTGTATCTTCTTAAAAGAGTTCTCTGTAATTTTAAAGGCAATGAAGATTGTGTGTGAACTTAATTGCAAGTATGATTCAGCACACACTGGAATTTTTGTAAATTGACAACAAATGCTGTAAATCTTTAATGTTTTTGTGACTTTTTGAGTGTTCGATACATTTTTGCTTATTGGGAGATGTTTCTTCATACTGTTAGTGTAAGGAAGTTTTTTTGTATTACCTTGTGCAGGATGTGAGAGCATCAACTGGAAACCTCTCATAATGTGCCAATAGTAAAACAATTTTACCACCTTTGTTAGGCAATAACAAAACGTAACGATTAATTCACTTTAAAAATGAACTGAAGATAATCAAAATGCTAACATTTGGTCCAACTTTCCCTACCTTTGTAATGGCCTGATCCACAGCCTTTATGGCAGACATCATTCCTTCAATTTCTTGATTGATGGCCTTATCTTTCTTGTCATCCTTTCTTATTTTTTCTGCAAGAGGCAAAGGAGCGGGTGTGGTGACTGCAGCAGCTGGTCGAGATGTTTTGGCCTTGAACCCCCGTGGAAGTGTAGCAAACTTTTGCTCCGGTGCAGAATCTCGTACTTCTGGCGGCGAAACCTTGACAGTCTTTACAGGTGGTGGTGGTGGTGATAATTTGGATTGTGCTTCTTCACTGATAATTGGCATATCCTTTCTGAGTTCCCTGTCCTTAGCTTGTGATACTTTACGCAACTTCTCTTGCTTTGCAGCCTCCACCTTCTCTCTCTTCTCTGATACCAATTTGAGGAGTTTCTCTGCTTCAGACTCGGAATCAGAAGAATCAGAAGACTCTGTCTTGCGAACTTCTTGCTTTGTTCCAACTTCGGAAATTGTTCCAACACCACCAAGTTTTACATTAAGTCCACCAATTACAACTGCCTTTTCCTCTTCACTTCTTGTCACAGTGTCATGAGGGCTCACTTCTACGGTGTGTGTAAGTATCTTTGGAGACACTAACTTGTCATCAGTATCAATATATGGCTGCTCTACTGTAGGAGCCTTTTTATTCTCCTCTAGTATTTCCTTCTTTGGAGATTCATCACGCTTTTTCATTTCTATTTTGTCTATTGTAGCAATATTACCGTCAGGATCCTTGCCTGCTACTTCAACTGTTGTTGCTGGCTTTGGAGATGGTGATTTTGTCATTTCCTTTCTAAATGGTTCTTTCACCTTTTTAGGCACCTTTTCTTTTTCAGCATCCTTTTTAGTTTTTTCTTCTGGTGCATCCTTGGCTGGAGATTTCTCTTTTGCTGGTGATTTGCCTTTATGAGATTTTGTTGAAGTAATTTCTTTACAAGGTGTTGAATCTCTAATAACATCACGAGTAGTTATTGGTCCAGAATGAGTAGTGGGTATTTTAGGACCATCCTTATTTGTAGGTGAAGAAGGTAAAGATTCTGCAGTTGATTTTTTCCGTAAAATGACAGTGGGTTTTTCAGCTGGTTTAGCTTCAAAGGCTTTTCTTGCATCAGACACCTGTAACACACAACAAAAATTAATACTATGTCATAGATCACACATGAAAAAAACATAATAATTATGATTTTCAAACTAAATTTAACAAAGTCCCACCTACCAGGGACCACGAGCCACAACCTGGCCCCTTCAGAGGGGTCCTTGGGTCATTGGTATTTGGTTGGTCAGGCCGGGGGTGCATCATGTGTTGTGTCTGGTTGTGGCTCTTCACCATTACTTGTGCACTTCAGCTGTGGTGGCTGGGGATGCGCGCTTTGGGTTGTTCCGGTTGCTCATTCCCTGTTCCAGGGCTCGGGTCTTCCAGGTTGTCCACAAGGTTATTATGTCTAGCCAGCCTGCAGTCTATCCTCATGCCCATGATGTTAGGAAGTTTGCTGCTTTGGCTGCCATGTTGGGCAACATGTCTTGGACTGATATTAGGGCGCGGGGATTTTGGGGGTCGAATAGGGTCCTGGCCGCCCGTTATTTGGTGTACACGCCTGCTCCTGCTCCTGTGTTGCTTTGGGTCGCAGGTTGCAGTCTTGACTTCGCATTGAGGAGTTTGTGGCAGCCACCTCCTGGGTAAGTCCCTTTTTCCTTCTCTTTGGGTATGTAGTTCCAGGGAAAACCAGCATTGAATGTAATGAAATGCCCTTTTCTGGGCGAGCCCCAGAAGCTCCCTGGCAACCATCCCTCCCTCCGGTTGGCATATTTTTGCGTTGTTTTAATACTTGGCTTTCGAACTGAAGGCCTGAGTAGCCGGCGTGGGAGGTCTGGGGCGCCCCCCTCCCCCTATTGGGGAGGGGAGGGCTGCACAGACGAGCAGCGGGGCATTAGAGTGTGACGTTTGCTTGTTTCCTTGGGATTAGAGGGAGTTCTACCTCTCTTTTCAGTTTTTGTAGTTAGTTTCTTACCATGTGTGGTTTGTTTTCTTATGTGTACCTTTCTGGGTGCCTAACCCCGGTCGATGGCAGATAAGGAAAAAAACCCAACCACAGGGGGGGGGGGGGGGCAGGGTCATTGCTCCCTGAAACCTCTTTGAAGGGGCCAGGTTCTGGCTCATGGTATCTGGTAGGTAGGTCTCCATAGCTAATGTCCCAGTCTAATATAAAACACATTAGCGCGATAGCTCCAGGGAGCCGTAAGGGCTCCCCACAGAAATTGATCGTTGACTGATTGACAGTTGAGAAGCGGGCCGAAAGAGCAGAGCTCAACCCCTGCAAGCAGAACTAGGTGAATACACAGCATATGTTAGGTCAGTCTTAGAATATACAACACTGATACAGGAGCTCCACTTAGTGAAACACAAGAGAGAGAGAGAAGGTACAGGGATTTGCATCAAGAATGGTGTCAGAATTAAAAAGACCTCGGCTATGAAGACGGTTAAGGAAGTTCAATCTGATACGTACAGTACTTAGAAGAAATACCAGGGAAGATATGATTACAATATACAAGATACTGAGGGGAAATGATGAGATGGATTTTGACAGGTTATTCAACACGGGGGAAACAAAATGAGGGGGCACTGAAAAAGTTGAAATCAATCAATCAAGAGATATGCTCTAAGAAAGTGTATATATGCATTGAGATTAGCAAACAAGTACAACAAGATGGCAGCATCATCTACACACAACTTTAAGAGAGGATACAATAGAACAATAGAACATTGTAAAGAAGACATGCAATAAATACTGAATTGCAGAGAGGTAGGACCCTAGAGCTAAGTCTCACCTTTTGTACATAAAACTAGGTAAATGCTGAAGCACCACAGTGAGGGGTGGGGAAATAATGGGATACACAGAAAAGTGATCTAAGGGGCATGATCTAAGGGGAGTTATCTAAAGGGGAGTGATCTAAGGGGAGTGATCTATGCGTACTAATGGCTTTAGGTATTGTATGTACTATTGTATGTACTATTGTATGTACTATTGTATGTCTATAAATCCAACATTATGTTTGTAAAACAACTATGTATGTACTTTCCTGAATAAAATTTACTTTACTAAAAGAGTGATCTAAGGAAGTGATCTCAACCTTGTGGTTGTTCTCTTCTTTAGTAACATATGCATGCACCACCAATTTTATTTCATTATATAATATTATTTTTTTTGTTTTTTTGCATTCAATTATGTCTGTGCTTTCACATTTCTTCCGTTTTATTTTCCCACATTGTGTCTTCACGGACCACTGCAATTTTTATTAGTCTACAATTTTGTCTCTTATTACAAGGAATTGGCAACGACTCCACTAATGTGATACAGCTTGACGCTGATTATTGAAACCAATTGGTACCTCTAGATATCTGGGAAACTTAAAATATGAATTCAGAAATTAATAAAAAAAAGAAAGAGAGACCATGCATTTTTTAACATTCATAATACAATACTTATTTTAGAAAATACTGTGATATTTACTTACCATACTTTTGTAGGGATGAGACCTGTGATGCTTCTATACATAGGGGAATACTGTACAATTTACACCTTATATGAAAATTAATTTGTACTGTGTACTTACGTTGACAGTGCTAAGATCTCTTGATGTATTCTTTGATAGTCATTAGGGTTTTGGCTATCCAAGATAGCCAAAACTGTTTACATAAACATACTCTTTTGTACTAAAGTTCTTTTGTAGATGTTTGCAGTTACATAATGTACAAACAATACAAAAAAAAATGTCTGGCAGTAAACAGGCTTATCACACTTCCGTACAGTAAAGTAGAAAAAAACATTATTAGACATAGAATGAGTTGGCACTTATCAGTCCATCTTCATAGTCCCCAGTTAGGTCCGGACTCCACCTCCCTGGCTGCGAGCCCTAGCTTGTAGTTCGGACCAACTTACCCATTGTTGGTCGCCTAGCTATCCTGAATGTCGGTAAACTCAATACTATCTGTCTTATAGAACATCTCTATTATGTCATTAAGTTCCACATTGTTGTTGTGTACTTAATTACTGTACTAGGACCTCTCCTACCTCATCATCGTTGTTGTTGTTGTTAAAGACTCGCTACCTGGAACAAAAAGTTCCAAGTAGCACAGGCTATGGTGAGCCCGTAGTTTTACCTCATCATCATCATTCTTCACCAAATTCCAACATTTTACCCAGTTGCATCATTAATAATGCACCTTTTGAGATTCTCAAATGTTTGATACTTTCCATTTATCTTATTACTGTCTTCATCATTTATTTAAAACACAAGACTCGAATTACCATTCACTTTTTTTTTTTAGTCATTTTTAATTAGACGAGTTCTGACGCTAGGGGCAACAATTATTATGAAACCAGAGAAGGAATATCACCATTGTTACCCAAGCATTCTTTAAATGATAATAAGCTACAGGATGGTTGTACATATGACATTTTAAAGCTATGCTGGGAAGAGGTGGCACGAACCTTGTGTGTCCAGTTTCAGCTACCACTAAGAACATCCACTCCCATCTAAGCTGGCCTGTGACTTGACAGTTTACTGGTTAATGGGTGTGGATTTTCCCTTAACCAGACATGCTCTAGTTAATGGTGATGGAGAACAGGATACAGTATTTCTATTCCCAGATAAGACAAGATTTTGGAAGAGGGAGAATCGGATTACTTGTCATTACATGTAGCTAAATCAGCAAGTCCTTTAAAAAATATTCCAAATGCTACCTGAAGACAGTTGAAATACTGTTTCATATATACACTGTATATTTGTCATATAATGTATACCGTAAATGTATTACCACAAGGTCAACTATTTAATTGAAAATGCATTGGATTATGGCACATAGTACAATGTTAAAAACATTATTTTCTGTGTTATTAAAATACTGTTATAGTACAGTACCGTACTGTATACCTAATAGTGATTTTCATAATCTCAAATCCTCAGTTGTAAATCTCGCAGTCCATGTTGGGAACAGTATAGATCTTTTATTTAAAAATGTCATCAGGTCTCAAGTACAGTACAAGACTGGGCAAAGACATCAACAAATTAAATTGTTTGAGGAAATTTCAGTGTGGAACAGTGTACTTGCATAGTGCAAACACTTCAATAATTGAAGATAAAAATTCATAATAAAATAAGGAAATAAATATATAAATAAAAATAAAGAGCTTGATTGCAACACAATTTCTAAACACGGAGTCTACAGTGCAACATAAATATCGCTAATGTCTTATATTTTACAAATACCACTAAAAATCCATTACATTTATATCCGACAAACAGAAAAAGCGTCTTACCTAAGGGTTATAAGATAAAAGCACTGGATGGTGAACTTTAGAGCTAATATATAACAATGAGACAGGCAGTGATACCATGTACAGTACAGGAATTGAAGGAAGAGGTGCCAGATAAAACCAAAATGGGTTATAATACAAATAAGTAGTGAAGCGCAATGATAATTAGATGAAAATGAGGGAAAGCTTCAGGACTAGACGAATAACTGAAAATATTTTACAGGGTGTTTAAAGTGACAGTTATAGACTGGCTACACAAATTATACCAGTTGACAAAAGCACAGATACCAGTAGTATCTTAGTTGTAGAGGAGTGAGGGAACTATAGGGCACATTAAAATTTTAAGAGGAATTATCTTGCTAAGCACACCTGAGAATGTGAATGGCACAGTTGTGAGAGGCAAGACAATTGATAGTGTAGAAAAAGTGAGGAGCAACGAGGATTCTTGAAAGGATGTGTCGATCAGACATTTTTTTATAAAGATGACAGCAAACATTACATTACAGTATAAGCCAAAGAAAGAGCCTTAATGTGACATGCATAGATTAAGAGAAAAGCCTGATAAGGATATATTCACTAACTTCCAATAAATTGATTTTATGGTGGAAATATATTATGCATAAGAGTGAATAAAAACAAAAAAGTGAAAGTGTTGCAATAGGTGTTACAGTACAATATAAGACGTGTGTAATGTTCTTGAGATATTGTAGCATATAAGTTGCTGATAAGAGATTAAAGTGAGCATGGACATGGTGGGCACAGAGTTGGAGCTGACTGGAAAGACACAGTGAACGAAACCTTCACAATATGAGAATAAAGTTAAAGACAGATGCTGTTAAGGGTAAGATGATGGGTTTTGACAGGCAAGAGTGAAGGAATGAATTTTGCTCTACCTAACAGAATAAACAGACAAAATGTGATGGAGTAAGTCAGATGAATGGTGTACAATTAGAAAGTCTAATAACTGAAATAGTTTTGACTGATAATTGGAATGTTTCACATTTTGGCAAATGTGAAACGAAAAAAAAAATTGATCAACTGTGAAGAAAAATTAACTGCATGACCATTTACTCTTTCCAACCCTGACTTATGGGAGTAGAATAGGAAAAGAGAATGATAAACATATATCAGGTAATGTTACTGAAATGAACTATTTAAGCAATACATGAGGCATAAGCTGGTAGGTAGGGTGAAATGAATGATAAAATTTGGTATGGAAGATCTAAGATAACAGAGAAAGCCAGGGAGATTAGCTGAAAGATAACAATGGGTCAAGAGAAATACTCGAGGATTTCAAATTACCCAACTCTCACATATAAATTGAAATTTGAGTCGATTCTGGACTCTTATCAAATCATGACAAAGCTTTATATTGACACATTGTTCCATTTCCACTATGTCATGACTTGATAAGCATCCAGGATGAACTGAAATGTTGTCCCTTTCATTACATTAAATTTATGTGGATTGGGCTATTTGTTTCAGTTATGTTATTGTGACTTAAATTCAATTCTAGGGGTGCTTGGATGATTGGCTTGTAAGGAAAGTTAAGAGCACAGTACGTGAGTGAGACACGTGTGGTAGAGCAATGTATCATCTACCAATTTTAAGGAAAGGGAAAAGATTACATACGAAATACATTTCATTACATCAGAGGAAAATAGAATGGCTGGAAGATAAGGTTTAGTTAAAGTTGCACAATGGCCTGACCACTGTGAATACTCTCACTTAGAGAGAACTCCTAGAGGCACACGACACCAGAGATGCAGATAGGAAGAGACCTTTACTGATAAGTCATGAAAATAACCTGAACAAACTTGTTATCTAAATAACCATATCTGTGATAGAAATTTTCCAGTGTGTGATCACTTAAGTGTATTCATTACTTTTGCCATTAAACTCTGGACATTGCTGCACAATAAGCTGTATTAAAAAACCAGAAGCAAGCTTGTCTTGTTAGCTATGCATTTTGTAAATGTTACAAAACCAAAATATAAAAAATTATAAAAATAAAAAGTAAAAAATTACCTTAAAACTGGGCACCACCTTACTCTTGCGATCAACTAATGGCTTTTCCTCAAACTTCTTTGCAAGATCAGACATGACATTTCCTCCAGTTCTAACTGGTTTCTTGAGTTTTTCAACTGGGGATTGGGATGGAGTATTTTGGCTCTCCCACATGGCAGCTGCCTTGAAAATCTTTGACTGTCTCTTTGCCGAGTCTGTACGGGACGGACGAGTTTCTGTAGATGACTCGGAACCAGCTCGACTTCGAGCTGGAGTTGATAACATAGACGAAGACTGGCTAACATCTTTACTAGAAATTGACTCACCAGCCGATTCTACATCTTTCCGTTGAAGATTACCGACCGACTCGCTCTCTTTACTCGTAATAACTTCACCTACTCTTCCCTTGACCTGAGAGTCATTATATCCTGCTTTTACTGCATCAGGAATGTTGGACTCTTCTGAACGTTTAATTTTATCTGCTGTTTCTTGTAAAACTTTTTCTGTTTCATCTACCTTGGAAACAGGCGATGGAACTACTCTACTAACATCACTGTTCGTCGGTGATACCTTTGCTGGCCTGGTCTCAACCTTGCTTTTAGAGCATGTTTTTACTAATGACTTTGATTTGACTTTTCTCACCTTTGGAGTTTGAATAGGCGATGAAGATTTCTTTGGAGAGTCTTGACGCTGGGGAGTAACCCTTGTCTCGGTCTTCATTGGACTAACAGACTCCCTAGAGAGTGAAGAGTCGGAGGCCTTGAGGGTTACATCGTTAGAAGTAGACGATCCCACAGATCTTGTGCTCGATGATACTTTTGTTGGCCCCGGGAATATAAGAGTGGGTGTAACTGGTTCAGTTTCCATAGGTTCTACCTCATCAGACTCTTGATATGCATTACCTTTCCATTCATTCTTTGCACTATTACTTCTACTTAATTCCATATCATTAGATAAAGAAGACTGTACCTGCTCTATAAATTGGTCCTTGGGTATGGAAGGTTTCAGGCTTTGACTTTGCAACTGGTCCTCAGAGGTGTCCATCTGTATGTCCCTAGACTTACCCGTCTCAGCTTCGTCATACTCATGATTTTCCCCATTTATCACAGGTGAAGGTTCAATAACAGATTCACTATCTGTTGTACTAGAAGTCTTTTCTTTTAATAACTCTTTCTTTTTGGTAATTTTTCTTTTCTCTATTTTATCGTCATTTGATTCTCTAGTCACAGAAGATTCTCTCTTTTTCACACTCTTCTTTCTTTCTGTTCTCTCACTTTCACTATTATCTTTATCAACTGTTGGTTCTCTCTTTTTAACACTCTTCTTTCTTTCTGTTCTCTCACTTTCACTAATTTCTTTCACAATAGAAGGTTCCCGCTTTTTCACACTTTTTCTCCTCTCAGATTTTTCACTTAAGTCACTAATATCACCATCTACCAAAGATTCACGCTTTTTAACACTCTTTTTATGTTCAGAACGCTCACTTTTGTCATATTGTGACGTCTCCTGGTCCGATATGGGTTCTCGCTTTTTAATACTCTTCTTCCGCTCAGACAACTCGCCATCTGGTATAGCTGGGGGTCTTCGACTACTACCCGACTCTCCACTATGAGAGCCGACGTCAGCTTTTCGTTCTTTTCGACTTGGCTTGGGCGTTCCCTCTACAGCACACTCTCGTTTCTTTTTCTTTTCCATGGTGCCAGATTCGTCGGCTTTTCTCTTCTTCTCCTTCTCCTTCTTTTCTCGTATTTTCTGTGCCAGCAGAGCTTCAATCTCATTGCGACTGATAGATGTGACTGCACCGAGGGAAGCCGAGCGTGTCGGAACAACTGGAAGAGCATCAGGTGGTGGTGGAGGAGGCAACTGGAGTTGAGGGGGTGGTCGAGTAACCTCTGAGGTAGGCGGCGACTGCAAGGCAAAAATGGTATATGCTATTGGCGCTTTGAAAAATATTAAAAGCTACATTAACATAAAAGAATGAAAACATCATAACAATAAAAAATAAACAAAATCTGCATTGAAGCAAGATTAGTTAGCCACATTAACAAGACAAAAATGTATTACTCATAGCCATCATTCACTACTGTATAACTACAGTGATGCAACTCTTAGCTTGATTTAGAAGCAACGTTAGAATGATAAGAATTTAACACTGCGACATTAATGCAAATTTTCATTTTAAGAATAATGTGTTTTACAGAGTTTTAGGAGTACATTATGCACAACTCCCCATAACAGTACTAAACATATTCTGTTTTACATGAAACTGAATATACAGTACAATAATGATTATGTTTCACTTTTTTTCCTAGTCAAGGCAGATAAATGTTAATTTTTACATAAATAAAAAAATATTAAGTTTTCTGATTTTAAGACAAATCCTAGAACAAATACCAGCCAGGAGACAGTTTGTAGTTGACCAGACCACACTAGTGAAGGTGAAGGGACGACGATGTTTCGGTCCGTCCTGGACCATTCTCAAGTTGATTTTGAGAATGGTCCGACTTGAGAATGGTCCAGGACGGACCGAAACATCGCTGTCCCTTCACCTTCTAGTGTGTGGTCTGGTCAACATACTTTAGCCACGTTATTGTGACTCATCGCCTGCACAGTTTGTAGTTCTTGATAATTTTATTATTACATATTACATACCAAGTTGTATCTGTCAAGAAAAAAGATTTTGAAAGATATATAACTTCCATTCCGTTATCAAAAGCTATGATTTTTTCAGTATATTGCTGGTGTAACAAAGAATTTCTATTTTTTATGCAAGTCTGTCTTGAAAGAAAAGTTGCATTTCTGAGCAGGTTTCAAAATAAGCACTATGTTTGAAAATTATGGTGGCACATTTTTCAGGAACACTCCTACAAGCTCACCACCCACAAGCAAAAATTAAAAGTTTCTTTATTCCCTAATCATAAACCTGCATTAAAGATAGTTGCAACAGATCTCACTTCTGTTAATCGTTTTTAAATGAGCACACACACAGCACAACAAAAAAACTGAATGAACTCTAAAAATAAAAATGGCATATGCTTGATATTGATGAATTAAGCAGATCAATCTGTCGAGGAAATTTAACGCAACTCTTTCATAGCATCAAAAATCAAAATAAAACTAAAATTAGCTGGTCAAACACATCATTGCACAAGGATGCAGCAAATTGTGTGAGACTGGGAATTTTTTTTTGTAATTACTTAACTGTCCAACTCTTGAAACTTACTGTGTATTGTTATCAAGACAAATTAGTAGTTTATTTCATTTTTAATTTCAAAGCTTTCTCCGAACTAAGAAACTGGGCCAGCAATATTTATTCATCCATAGAGACCAATGCATCCTCAAAACATTATAGTACTCTACATACAGCACTGTATACATATATACAGTATATAATAAATGGACTCCTGTGCCCCCCATTTTATCCACATTTTATACTATTGATGGTAGAGGGGGCCACGAGAATAAAATGGCATTTTTCGGGTCTCATTTTGTCACATCTTTCCCGAGCATGCTTGAACAGCCTAAGTAACAAATTAGTTGCTAATTCCAACCCTGTGGTAGTGGTGCCACTGCCTAGTAGTGATCAGGGTAGCAGCCACTATCTCCCTTCCCCAACCGCAAGATCAAACTTGTATTTGGCATGTTACTAGTCATGGTGGATGAATAGGTCATTAGAATCTGGCAGGCAGATTGTGTCCGAGGACCCACATACATGCAGGTCGCTGTATCAAGGGAGCAACCGAGGGACCAGCTCAGAAGAGATTATTTAATGATTAGATTCCTCATTTATTCAGAGCTGTAGACTTGCTTTTACCAGGGGGCTCAGTTCTACTATTAAAATACCGAAGCAGTAGTTAATGTAATTAGGATAGAGTAGCTGTTATTTTTGAGTGGAAATATGACTTGCTGACAGAGGTTTAGAGTTACCAGACCATAGAGAATACAAACTATCAAGTGCAATCAAGTGCAGCAAAGATTATGATGATGATGGAAAGTATACTAAACTCTAGAAGTAGGCACTATTTTTTAGCATTTCTCAACCTTTATACCATTGAAATAATTTTGAGTCATACTTTATCTAAACACACACATGGATTTCCTTGTCAGCTGAGAAGAGACAATTTGTCTTTGTTCTTGATACTGGTTAAATCAGAAAAATTAAACAAAAAATGACTCAAAAATACATTTCTATATGATTAGAATTAGCCAAATTATCATTATCTCTTGCAGGACCCCTAGTTACCTCGGGGGTTCTGCTGAACCCCAGTTGAGAAATGCTAGTGTAAGTTTTTATATAATACAAATGTACTGTAATTGTAGACTCGATATGCGAGTTATCAAATCAAAATCCAGTTAACCCTGTAAATGTAAGGGGGTAAATTTTAAGATTAGAGGAGTTACCCTGTATCTGAAACGCTCCAAGGGTGAGAAAATATAATTCGTCAATGAAATACTGTACAGTACACACATGCCCTGGACATACTTATCAGCACAAAAAAAAAAAAAAACTTAATAATGTACCATATTTCAGGGTAAAGTGTTTGGCTGCCAGAGAACACTACCATATTGCTGGAACATAATTCCAAGGAAAACTTCATCTAAATTTTTTAATACAAAGGATCATAATCTCAAAGACCTTCAAGTTCAAAATTGAGTAACACTGAGTGGCAAAAAAATGACTGCTAACATGGATTATTAGTAATGCTCATTATTCGTGTCCTACTCACTCTGGTACTGTCATCATCATCCGGTTGAATAAGCATGTGCTCTGAATTGATGTGCTTGGGCGCGAGTGACAGCAGCAGATCAAGGCGGACGGGTGTTTGGTTGGCCAAGGCCTCGGCCACCTCCAAACAATGTTCTGAAAAGCCTTCATTGACCCACCAGTGATTACAAATGTCTTCAATTGTGGCTCGTTTAGTAGCTGACACAGTGAGCATTTGTCGGATCAAGTCGGAGGCACCTGGGTATTGGAAGGAGAAAGAAAAACAGTCCTCTTACATTAACATGTACTCTTCTACAGAGCCACTCAATAAGCACCGCTCAAAATGCATATAACCCATTTACATTAGAGAAGTTAGTTTAGTTCATTTATTATGCACCCCATAAGCAATGTCAAAGATTGTAACTATGATTTTTGTGGCGAACTTAAATGTAAATTCAATTTACAAAAGCTCATTGACAAGGCACTTACGAGAGGGTTTCTTAGGTTCGTAGTAGTCTCCTTGGGTAATTTGCTTGACCAGGCGCTTGAAATTTGAGCCATCAAATGGCATAGCACCATACACCAGTGTATATAACAAAACTCCCAGTGACCAACAGTCAACCTGCACAAAAAAAAATGAGCATCTTCAATGTTACGAAGATGATAATCACTAAAATTAACCCATCTTCATTACTGTACTTACATATCAATGTTGGGTAATAATAAAACAAACCACTTTCAGAGCAATAGTCCACATGATCGCACTCTTAGACAAAAGTTCTTTAAAAGTCTCCTAGAGCCCAGGTGAATGGAACAAAAGTTCTTTAAAAGTCTCCTAGAGCCCAGGTGAATGGAACAAAAGTTCTTTAAAAGTCTCCTAGAGCCCAGGTGAATGGAACAAAAGTTCTTTTCCTCCCTGCCCAAACACCTCTCTGGGGGCAATTACCAGCTCGAGGAAACACCCACAACCCCCAAGTCCTGGGGGCACTGCTTTACATCACAAGTTAATCCTAACACCCCTTCTTAACTCTATCCCTGTTTAATATTCTTACCTCTGAGAGTTACCAAATGTGACACCTCAGAAATAAGGCTTTTGAGTTAATGTAAATACTCTTTTGCGAGCAGAATCATTTGGTTGCTCCCACTTCCTCCCATTGTATACTTACTGCCTCCATTAGGCACAGATTTACATTTCATGTACAGTATCTAGATTTACAAACCCAGCAGTGTGCATGGTGCTGCCATCTGTTGAAGGCTAGTGTAGGTAGCCAGGTGGGTACAGGACTAGAACATCCATACTTGTGATAGATGCCAAGAGAAAGTTTGCAATGGCTTTGAATTTTTCTGAATCTATCTCTTCTTCTGGGCTGGATTTAGCTCTTCTCACATGACTCCCCAGAACCTGTAATGACCCGGCAGGAGACCCACTCAATGTATCCTGTGGCACTAGTGCCAGAATATTACCTACATTACAGGTCACGATCCTGTTCATATGACACAGGATCTTACCTTAGGGAGCTGCTCTAAAATTTGAACCGAAGCCTTATTTTTCAACCTTTATTTTCTGCCTCCCTTCATTTGATACTCAAAAATCTTAGAAACTTTCATTAGTTGTTAATTTAGATAATTCAAAGAAATCCTGGTTAAGAAAAAATAACAGCAAAATTACTAATATAACTGCCAGTTTACTGTATTTTACAGTATAAAACTAATTGGAAAACAAATATTAGTTCATAAAGCAATAGATAGTCTGAGACACATACCTCGGGTCCTGTGTAGGGAATGCCTTTCACAATCTCGGGAGAAGCATACAGAGGAGAGCCACAAAATGTATCCAAACGGTGTTTCTCATCGAAGACATTTGAAAGACCAAAGTCTGCAATCTGTGGATAATAAACAGTATTATCAATCAAATTTTATAGACCGATTAAATAAACTATACCAATCATATTTTATGGAATGATTAAATAAACTATATCAAACTATAGGGTTATGCTTCATATGTTTTGCCCATGATAAATTCAGCAATGAATGTAATGAAATGGCTCTTCTAACATTGTTATTTGCTTAGCTAAATGAACTAGAGGGTTCAGTTCCTGAACCGATTATGTGCCTCTGTAATCCTTTACACCACTGCCCACGGGATGGGTATGGGGTGCATAATAAAGAAAGAAATTGAATTGGTGGTCCTTTGGTGGCTCTCATAGAGCTATTAAAGGATCCTCTCAGAAAGATTTTGGATCTGAGATTAAGATGAGGAAAGTGTCTGGATACAATAATAACAGATGATTCAGGGGTGTTGAAGACTAAGAGAACTCCTAATGGGGGGGTTCAGAAGCACAATCCTGGTAGGTATCAATCTGGAGCATATTACATATCCTGCTATTTAAATCCCAGTCTTAAATTTTGTATATATATGTTACATAACAGCTTCTCTGAGTATATGTCTACATGAAGTAAATTTATTCCCCAGTGGATGAAAGTTATACTCAAGCCTTTAATCCCATGTTCAGCATACCTCGCAACTTACCTATTTTATTTACTCGTGTAGAAATATTTAGCATTGACACATTTATTCCTTTTCTAGATATTGCAGAAGGTGTTCCCCTCTCTCCCAAGACTGTGGCAGAAGGTGATCCCCTCTCCCCCAAGACTGTGGCAGAAGGTGTTCCCCTCTCCCCCAAGACTGTGGCAAAAGGTGTTCCCCTCTCTCCCAAGACTGTGGCAGAAGGTGTTCCCCTCTCTCCCAAGACTGTGGCAGGTGTTCACCTCTCTCCCAAGACTGTGGCAGAAGGTGTTCCCCTCTCTCCCAAGACTGTGGCAGGTGTTCCCCTCTCTCCCAAGACTGTGGCAGAAGGTGTTCCCCTCTCTACCAAGACTGTGGCAGAAGGTGTTCCCCTCTCTCCCAAGACTGTGGCAGAAGGTGTTCCCCTCTCTCCCAAGACTGTGGCAGGTGTTCCCCTCTCTCCCAAGACTGTGGCAGGTGTTCCCCTCTCTCCCAAGACTGTGGCAGGTGTTCCCCTCTCTCCCAAGACTGTGCATTGGACTAAAAAGACTAAAATGTGTCACCCAGGGCCTACCTGAACAAGTTACAATAGGAACCCTTCTTCACATTAGAAATTTAATTTTCAAACTGATACAGAAATTCCATACTACATGAAATACCTAATTAGGAACTTACCTTAGCATTACCATCTAAGTCCAATAAAATATTTTCTAATTTGAGATCTCTGTGGCAGATTTTGTGCTGTAAAGAAGAAAAAATGTATACAGTATTTGTATAGTTTAGCAAAAACTAATAAATCAAATGCTGAAAGATGTATGACTGAATGCTGAATATCTTTCTAGGATGCTAAAATTACATAAATATAATTTTTTTAGAGAGAGAAATGACAGAATCATTATTTAATTTATAATAGTACAGTATAGGCATTAACAGAGAGAGAATATGCTGGATATATTAATGCAATAGGTTTCAGGATAAGTCTCCCCATTTCCTACTCACTTTTAACCTAAACTAACTTAACTTTGCTGGACCATCATCAAACCAAACATAACCTCATCCATTATACACAGAAATCACAATAGCGTGATGCATCAAATGAACAAATCCACAAGGGCCATGATAAGGGTTTGAACCTACGCCGAGAGGATCCCAGGCACAGTCGATTAAGGCGCTTCTGGGATCCTCTCGGACGTAGGTTCGAATCCTCATCACGGCCCTTGTGGTTTTGTTCATAGCCTAATCCACTTAATCTAATTTGTCTCAAAAATCCATGAATATGTTGTAGCTGGAAGATGGGAGTTGGTTTGAGGAATGATCTGTCCTGATATATACAGTACATGAAGATGCTAGCTTAGATGAAGAAAAAACTGTACAGAAATGTCAAGACAAAACCTGTAATTCAATAAGAGTGACAATCCACTATTGTCTTAGACAAGATAAAAGCTATATTTATATATATTTATATATATACATATACATAATATAAATATAAGTAGCTATGCATAAGCTAAAAAATAGTTATACATATATTTATATACAGTACATACTATACTATAGGAAATTTTGCAATAGATCCATCAGATTTGTTATAGAACATTAATCACAGATAATATAAAAACAAACAAATCAACCCACACCTTGTGGCAATAATATGTTGCCGAAGCAACATGACGAAATACTCTCCGAGCCTCATCTTCCGACAGCACCTTGCGTTCACTGAGATAGTCATACAGTTCCCCACCTGCTGCATATTCCATCACCAGTACCATTTTTTCCCGGTTTTCAAACACTGGATGGAGGTAAAATTTTACCATTAACAACATACGAAAAAAAACATTTATAAGCATTATAATTTTCAGTTCCTGGTTTTCAAAGACTGTGGATGTAGATCAAATTTATCACTGGCAATAGATGATATAAACAAGTTTATAAGCATTATAATTTTCAGTCTTCAGGTGAAAAATGTAGGTACTGTACAGCAGTGTTTTTACCAAATAAACACAGCCTTAATAACCCTCATGTTGTTGATAGGTCTTAATCCCAACAACAAACCAAATCAAATAAATAATAAATTATACCTTATTCATTGGAAGAATACAATATTCTGTATTATCAATCTTTACCTTCGTATATATGGATGATCTGAGGGTGCTGGACTGACGACATAATCTGAATCTCTCTCCGAATACGTATGAGATCCTGTTCTGTCTCAATTTTTGCCTTCTTGATAGTCTTGATTGCAACCTGAAGGAGAGAAAACAACTATAAATGTGCAGGATGGAAACATTTTTGGCCATGTTTCCTCTCGCCTAATGCGCTGTTCACCAAGTGATACTGTAAATAGGTACTCAGTGGTTAAGACAACTGTTGTGGATTGCATCTTGGAGAAGGACAGTAGTTGGCTTATGGGGACCTTGATAAACCCAACAGGCTTCTTGTCCCAGATTACAGTATATGAAATCAAAACCATTCCTTGTGGAAATTATAAGTTTTTATCTTCACTCTGATTCTTATGGTTAAGAAGTTTTACAAAGTCTATGCAAATTTTGGTTAATTTTAAATACTGTACACAAACAACTGTATCAATAAAAGTAAAATGGCCAAGAATATTGTGCCTTATCAAATTTCCATACATCTTATCAGATAAAACTTTGAATGTCAACTAGATTCCAAGAATTCTATAACTAACATGTCATAATTTAACCCCTGAGGAGATTGTTGGCAACTCCAGTAATAGGCGAGGGGAACTAATTGCAATTCAGAACGCGCAGTAAGTTACTGACCTTGGACAGTAACCCTGGCACTGTGCCAGACAACGTTTAAACACCTATAAATCAAACAAACAAACGTATAACTGAATGGAATATTTAGTGACATTTATTTTTGTTCTATTGCTAAGACTGTAAACATATGGGTTCTGAGGAAGATAAAACTATTAAGAAAAACAACAGACTACTGGATATTACTCAAAGACTTCTTGTTATATTCGGACTTAAGCAACATGATAGTAATTACAGCTGGTGTTTCGGTTTTGTCATCATTACTTCAACAGTTGCCACTTTCTTGGAGTTGGGAGGTATCAGCCTAACAGAAATAGGAGAGCTAATGGCATGCTGCTTGATAGTGTGGCAGGCTAACTTTAGTGTCTCCTGATACTGTATGGTTGGCAACCCTTACAGGCCTCCTAATACTGACTGGTTGGCAACCCTTAGTGTCTCCCCATACTGTATGGTTGGCAACCCTTAGTGCCACCTGATACTGTATGGTTGGCAACCCTTAGTGCCACCTAATACTGTATGGTTGGCAACCCTTAGTGCCACCTGATACTGTATGGTTGGCAACCCTTAGTGCCACCTAATACTGTATGGTTGGCAACCCTTAGTGCCACCTGATACTGTATGGTTGGCAACCCTTAGTGCCACCTGATACTGTATGGTTGGCAACCCTTAGTGCCACCTAATACTGTATGGTTGGCAACCCTTAGTGTCTCCTAATACTGTATGGTTGGCAACCCTTAGTGTCACCTGATACTGTATGGTTGGCAACCCTTAGTGCCACCTGATACTGTACGGTTGGCAACCCTTAGTGTCTCCTGATACTGTATGGTTGGCAACCCTTAGTGTCACCTGATACTGTATGGTTGGCAACCCTTAGTGTCTCCCGATACTGTATGGTTGGCAACCCTTAGTGCCTCCTAATACTGTATGGTTGGCAACCCTTAGTGTCTCCCGATACTGTATGGTTGGCAACCCTTACAGGCCTCCTAATACTGACTGGTTGGCAACCCTTAGTGTCTCCTGATATGGTGTGGCAGACTACCTCTATCTTTAGATACAAATATCTATAGATACTCATACATTATCTCTCTATCTACAACACACCAGCCCCAAGGACTGGTGTCCCCACAGGCGTATTTCCTGCAACTTTTGGAAAAAAACAAATCCGTTCTGGTAAAACAAGGAATATCTTAATTATCAGAAACACATTTACCTCTTGTCCAGTTTCTTTATTTACTGCCAACTGCACTTTGCCGTATGTTCCCTGGCCCAGCTTCCGTATGATGTCAAATCTGTAAAGATAGATTGGCATGATACTCCATGTTCCATGAATAACTATTATGTTAACCAATTAAGGTGCCCTCAACTTACATTTCCTGAATGCATTATATATATAAATTGTTAATAAATTATATATATAAATTAATAAATTATATATATTATATTATATGTTTAAATTGATTTTGGAGTTGCATTAATTATGTGCATATATATATATGCACATAATTATATATATATATATATATATATATATATATATATATATATATATATATATATATATATATATATATATATATATATATATATATATATATATAATACTTTAATTTTAAAGTATTAAACATGCCAAAGCTGCAAGACACAAGGAAAACAGGCAATATGATCACCAGATACAAAATCCTAATACGCTTCAATAAAGTTGACAATGAGGAATTTTTGAGAAAGAAAAAACTCCAACTTTTTTAGCTGCCCCCCCAAAAATGTGTAGCGACGAGACACGCCATCCAGACCGCCCGTGGGAGGAACCAATCACCTCACAAACTCTCCAGAATGTTGTGGTTCTACTTGGAGAACAAAAAAGTAGTCTGTTCACCTTAGACGGAAAGTCCCCTGCAGCTCCGCGTGGGATGACAAGAGAGTTTTCTAACCTATTTGTCTAATTGGGAGGTGTTTGTACATGTTTTTCTACGGGTGAATGTGTCTATCTTAAGAGGATTGGTGATGCTGCCCAATACACTCGGCCCCTCAGGGGCAAAAAATTAAATAAACAATTAATGATGCGACTATAACTGGCGAAGAACGTAAATTCCGTCGTCATACCGGCTGGGCGCGCACATTACAATGTATTAACAAATTGATTAAGAATTCAGGATGGAACAGAAACCTCTTCCCTTTCATTTAAGTGTCGTACACTCACCTAATTGTACTCACCTACCTACCTACCCCCCCCCCCTATCCCTCTCCCTAAAATATAATTTCTATAATGTGTTGGTGGTCGCCGGTGAGAGGAGCTTAACCTATGTGAAAAAATAAAAAATAAAGTAGTTACCGCTTTACTCTAGAAAAAGAGGCGCTGATTTTGAAACCTTAGAAGGTGCTGGATGATTTGTCTATTTTATGCAAGTGCAGGCAAATTGTGAATAGCAGAAAATTGATGTTCATTTCTCCGCGATCAGTGAATAATGGTGTATATTATTACAAGAAGAATTTTTGTTTGAAAAGCTTGTTTTGAAAATATTTGGCCGTGTAGCAGGACACGATGGGAAAAATCTCCATGGCGGTCTGAATGTGACCCTGGCACTCTGTTCCCCTTTGAATTCTGGCGACCCTGACCAGCCAACCTTGAGGTTACCTTGAGGTGCTTCCGGGGCTTAGAGTCCCCGCGGCCCGGTCGTCGACCAGGCCTCCTGGTTGCTGCACTGGTCAACCAGGCTGTTGGACGCGGCTGCTGGCAGCCTATGTTCATCCCTAGACCATTCCCTCTGCCAATTTGTATGAGGCTAGCCACGAGCATCTGGCCTCCAACTTTGGACAGACTGTTATAGTATAGGGTATATGTGGCGCAGTGGGCGTGTCACAGCCTTAACAAATAAAATTGATCATTGATTGATTGACAGTTGAGAGGCGGGCCGAAAGAGCAGAGCTCAACCCCCGTAAGCACAACTAGGTGAATACAGCTTACATCCAGTTGATTGACAGTTGAGAGGCGGGACCAAAGAGCCAGAACTCAACCCTGGCAAGCACAAATAGGCGAGTACAAATAGGTGAGTACAGCCAAAACAGCCCGTGCTCAATTCCAGCGACAAGACAGAAGCCATAGGGCAATCGTTCCTTTCACCTGATGCCTCTGTTCACCTAACAGTAAATAGGTACCTGGGAGTTAGGCACCTGTTGTGGGTTGCATTCTTGACCTCAATAAGCCTAATAGACCTACTGGCACTGAGTATGGCCAACTAAACAATAGTCAAACTTTTACTCGGAGCGACTGAGGGGACACGAAAGCTGCAACACGGACACCCGGGATGTGAAGATGTGCAGGCTCGGTGTTCGATCCCCGATCACCCAAGTGGCTAGGCAGTGGGCACCGCTCTTTCATTTTCTCAACCCGTTCTCCTAAATAGTACATCACAGTTTTGCAAACGGTTGGAACAAGTTAGATGAGAAGGTGGTGGAGGCACACACACACAGTAGTTTCAAAGCGTTATATGACAAAGAGTGCTGGGAAGACGGGACACCACGAGCGTAGCTCTCATCCTGTAACTACACTTAGGTAATTACACTTAGTAAAATTATACGTCAAAATGTAATTACCTAAGGCCAATAACTTATGTACTAAAAATTTGTACATAAGAACAAATTGTACATAAAAAATTGTACATAATTGTGGCTCGTGAAATTGACGTCATGTCCCGTTTTCTGTTCGTGGGTCCTCTAGTAAGATAGGTTCGAACAATTTAGTACATCAGTTTAATGACGTTAGGGAACGCTCGAGAGAACGAGCTGCTTCCTCATGCATGTCCCAGCTCCTTGTCCTCGTATGTATGCCTTCAAGGCACTATATAGTCATACTGGCTTGGACCTTTCTCCTGATATCTATAGTCCAGTTCAAGCTTATTGAGACGAGAAAAAATACATCTCAAAGGGATAGAGAAACTTAGGCTATTTCTACCCCCTCCTTGGTCTAGTTTCAATCGTAGCCTCGTGTAGCTTACGTAATTATCAAAAGCAGGCGGCCAGCCTGGGCAGGGTGACGCCACATATGTTGACAAGGATTACCACCACACACGATAACATATAATGACATCACCATCTCTGCTCACAGCCCCGCTCCTGTGCCAGGTAAGTATGCTACGGGCTCACCATAGCCCGTGCTATTTGGAACTGTTTGTTCCCAGTAGCTGAATCTTACACAACAACATTCTGCTCCATTTACTCAACATACACACACACACTCTTGGGGATTTGTTCTGGTGATAATTACGCCCTAGACCTCATTGTGTCAGGATGAACCTTCAGCATTTACTTGTGTAAGAATGCTGCAAGGCTTGGGAGCTGCGGCTATACTGCCAATATGGCGGGCAAGGTCGAGCCTGGCCGAACAAAGATGTACCTGGCGCTATGTTTACCTCAACCACCACTCGCCAAATTTCATGACTAACAAAGAACAAACACAATTTGTGTGATACCCCAGGCCTTCTCCTTCACGGTAAAACACCTGGCTCAAGTGGAGGGGGGGGAGGGGGAGGGCTAGCGATACATACAGCAAACAAACACTTGAATTTCACTGACAATGGATGCATTCTGCTACTCCAAGGATTATGTTGTGGAGAAGAGCCACAGGAGTGAGTAAGAGGAAGCGAGCCAAGCTCACGGACCTCCATGTAGATAGATGTGTGTGTGTGTGTGTGTGTGTGTGTGTGTGAGTGTGTGTGTGTGTGTGTGTGTGTGTGAGAGTGTGTGTGTGTGTGTGTGTGTGTGTGTGTGTGTGTGTGTGTGTGTGTGTGTGTGTGTGTGTGTGTGTGTGTGTGTGTGTGTGTGTGTGTGTGTGTGTGTGTGTGTGTGTGTATTCACCTAGATGTATTCATCTAGGTGTGCTTACAGGGTTGAGCTCTGGCTCTTTCGGCCCGCCTCTCAACTGACTCACTCACTCACTCTCTCTCCATACACCCAGGAAGCAGCCCATAGCAGCTGTCTAACTCCCAGGTACCTATATACTGCTAGGCAACAGGGGCATCAGAGTGAATGAAACTCTACCCATTCTCCACCATCACCGGGGACCGATCCCTCGGTCCCTAGGACTGCGAATCCCGACCGCTGTCCATTCAGCCACCAGGCCCCCCTGTGTGTGTGTTGGGGGGGGGGGGAGGCGCCAAGCCTAACACTGGACAAGCGCCAAGCCAACACCACAAACATTCCTCCAGAGGCGCCAAAACTAGCGCATGGGAACTCCCAATACATGTGGATCATTATATATTTCGTGCGGGGGGTTATCTTGAGAGGATTTCGGGGCTTTAGTGTCCCCGCGGCCCGGTCCTCGACCAGGCCTCCACCCCCCAGGAAGCAGCCCGTGACAGGTGACTAACACCCAGGTACCTATTTTACTGCTAGGTAACAGGGGCATAGGGTGAAAGAAACTCTGCCCATTGTTTCTTGCCGGCGCCTGGGATCGAACCCAGGACCACAGGATCACAAGTCCAGCGTGCTGTCCGCTCGGCCGACCGGCTCCCTAAAAATGGAGGGAGGGAGAAATGAAATATTTCAAGGTGTTTCAAACTAATCCGAGGAGAAAGCTAGACAAAGCAGAGCAAATTGGAATGTCTTCAGGTTATTCTAGTGACATCAGGTTTCAACCATTCACTCAAGATAACCTCAAGATAACCTCAAGATAACCTCAAGATGCTACCCCTGAATACAACATTCATACAGCCTGCCTAAGTATACTTTTCACATGCACGAGGGCCCAACATAGGCCTACACAAACACTGTAGACATATGTATATGTACATATACATATGTAGAATCATATGTACATCCCCTATCTCGAGGAAAAAATGTTTTAGTTTTTAGTTTAGTTCATTTATTATGCACCCCATACCCATCTTGTGGGCAGTAGTGGAAAGGGTTACAGAGGCACATAATATTGTATCTATACATTAATAGGTAATTATGTAACCTTATTTAGGGAATAAAACACTGTCTTGTGGGTAATAACTGGGACACACTGAAGCTCATACACAAGCTGCAGTGTATTTGTTCATCTTACCGTTACCGTAAAGTTAAATTACCCGGTAACAATTCCCCCCGACCGTTACCAAACCAGTATTTACCCAGGTCTTTCGTATATATAAACTTATCAGTTGAGAACGGCCACAAACACCGCAAGCAATAGTGATTGACACATGCAGACAGCCAGTCACAACAGCGTGGCTGACTGACACCAGAGCCACACACACAAGGGAGGGACGATGTTTCGCTCTCTCCTGGACTATTATTCAGTCGTGTAAATTACGTAGCGGGTGGGACGATGTACTAACACATCAACGCCCTACTTCAACCTACCCAACACACACACACACACCTCCCAACACCCCCAACACACACACACACACCTTCCCAAACACCTCCAAACATACACACACCTCCCCCTATAAACGTCTTGCAACAAGAATACGTTTATCATGATGTATCAACTTACATTTTCCGTGATATTTGATTTCAATGTTTACTGTGCACCCAACACTTGTCCTGGGAACGGTGGTTCTAGCCCGCCAAACACACAACGAAACTACCACGTTGGTACAACGTTCGAACAAGATTTTAACACCTAACAAGTTATAACAACCAATATAGCAAGTTGTAACAACGTCCTAGTACGTCATAAACACGTTAAGCCAAGATGTAACAACTTTATTACAAGTTGTAACAAGCTGAAAAAAGGGTCAGTTACGGTTTGTATTCACCTAGTTGTGTTTGCGGGGGTTGAGCTTTGCTCTTTCGGCCCGCCTCTCAACTGTCAATCAACTGTTTACTAACTACTTTTTTTTCCACACCACACACACTAGGAAGCAGCCCGTGACAGCTGACTAATTCCCAGGTACCTATTTACTGCTAGGTAACAGGAGTATTCATGGTGAAAGAAACTCTGTCCATTTGTTTCTGCCTCATGGCCTCGTGCGGGAATCGAACCCGCGCCACAGAATTACGAGTCCTGCGCGCTATCCACCAGGCTACGAGGCCCCTTGGAACTTGATAAAGCGTCTCCAAAAGATACCAGATCAACCAGGCTGTGATTCGTATGCCAGGCTGCGGGCAGCGTCGTCCAACAGCCTGGTGGACCAGACCATCAACCAGGAGACCTGGTCACAGACCGGGTCATGCGGTCAGTTGCTGTTGTTAAAGAATTGCTACCTGGAACAAAGTTCCAAGTAGCACGGGCTATGGTGAGCCCGTAGTGCCTTATGCGGTCAGTGATTCCCAGAATCAACAATGGTTGAAGGTTGATCTGCTTCGTTATTTATATTTTGAGACTTAAGAACTCGCGAAACCGACTACAGGTAAACTATAGGCTCGAATAGCACTCAGAAATGAACACAAATACAGCCTTACCGGGGCTCGAACCCGGACCTGAATTTGCAAGTCAAGTACCATCTCCACTGTCCACTAGATGCCTCGAGTGATCGCTCATACTAATGCTACCTTCCACTCAGCCTGGGGGGGGGGATAGGCCTATTTCCACCCAGCCTGGGGGGGGGTATAGGCCTATTTCCACCCAGCCTGGGGGGGTATAGGCCTATTTCCACTCAGCCTGGGGGGGGGTATAGGCCTACTTCCACCCAGCCTGGGGGGGGTATAGGCCTATTTCCACCCAGTCTGGGGGTCTTGTGAAAGTATTACAAAAAATTCTGTAATGAGTAAATCCATATATTTCCATGTGGTTTTATTGCAAAGTAATATTTATTTCCTCGTGTTTAATATAACAGAATTTTACTTAAGAATTTATAACTTAAATTTATAACTTAATAATTTTTTGTAATTTCCATTAGGCTTTAACACTAATGGTCAATGAAAAAAATAAGTGCAAATATTTTGAGTGACAATATATCACTTGATAGTGACTCGCCAAATTGATGTGATGTCCCGTTTTCTATCTTGTGGGTTGCCGTGTTTGGTTAATTCGGTCAATTTAGTTCATGAGTTTTATAGTGACGTTGTGAGGGCTGGAGAGGACGGCCTGGTCTGAGGGAAGCCTAGCTCACGGAGGGAAAATGGGAATTATAGTGGTAGAGTCTCAGGGGTAACTTTAAAATACTTGGGATGATCCACGATGTAAGTTTGACGAACTTTGGAGAGAGAGAGACAGAGAGGGGTATGGGGGTGCCAGTCCCCGAGGTGGAGGTCGAACAGAGTGCCAGAGCAGCAGGTAGCAAGTATATAAGCTACGTCAGAGTGCCTCTCACGTGGACAATGGCTAGTGCGTTCTTCACCTCTTTCACCTTTGCACCGGATACGTCTCCCGACAGTTCTGGATACACACTACCTTTGCACGTGCAAAGGTACAGTTGCAATAATTGTACAAATACGAGGACACGTTCAAGAGTGTATATACAAGAGGGGGGGAAAGAGAGTGGGGATGTTAGGAGAACGAAAATTATACAGGGTGGGAGAGAGGTCAGAATGTGAGAAGGAAAGAGGGGGGAAAGGGAAAGAGAGGAGGAGATGAAAGAGAGAAGAAGAATGGGAAAAAACGGAGGAGATAAAGAGTGGGGCTGGGGGAGATTTTAAGAGAAAATCGAGAGGGAAGGAAAAGGTGATGGGGGAAGAGAAAGGTGGAGATAGTGAGAGAAGGGGAAGACAGAGGGAGGAAGAGAGGAGAGGAAAGAGAGACCCGGGTACAGCAGGGTACCCCATCCACTAGTGAATATAATGTTAAAACATGATTCTATGTCTTCATATTTCCTCTGCCTTACGACCACTTCCAGGGACCAGATTCACGAAAGCACTTACGCAAGAACGTGTACATCTTTCCTCAATCTTTGACGGCTTTGGTTACATTTATTAAACAGTTTACAAGCATGAAAACTTCCCATTCAACTGTTGTTATTGTTATAAACAGCCTCCTGGTGCTTCGGAGCTCATTAACTGTTTAATAATTGGAAACAAAGCCGCCAAAGATTGAGAAAAGATGGACAGGTTCGTAAGTGCTTTGTAACGGTTCTATTGTTACGTAAAGTATGGTGACAAATAAACACAGACACTAAGATACTATATATATATTTGGTCGAATATACAGAAGTACACAGGTGATACGTTGGTGTGAGTTGAGCGCACTGAGCGTTGGTACAGTATCTCGCAAGTGTCTGCTCTAGACCACACTTGAAAGTAGACTCTGGTTAATGTTTGCTATTGCTGCTTATATGCCCGGGCAACGCCTCACCTCATTCATCTCCAAAGGTTGACAGGAATATTAACAAAGCATTTGGAGCGAGTATATTATTGGGATAATCTACTCGCTACAGCTTCGTGAATCTGGCCGCAGGGCAGCAGGCAAGGATTATTTTCTGGGACTGTCTACGCGCCACGACACACCCGCGACGGAGTACGCAGCACTCCCATGGAACCTTATCTTGAGGTTATCTTGAGATGATTTCGGGTCTTTAGTGTCCCCGCGGCCCGGTCCTCGACCAGGCCTCCACCCCCTAGGAAGCAGCCCGTGACAGCTGACTAACACCCAGGTACCTATTTTACTGCTAGGTAACATGGGGCATAGGGTGAAAGAAACTCTGCCCATTGTTTCTCTCCGGCGCCCGGGATCGAACCCGGGACCACAAGTCCAGTGTGCTGTCCGCTCGGCCGACCGGCTCCCTGGACACACAAAATAAAATTATCTGAGAAGTTTCAGGGATTTGTAACAAGACTGTTCCATAAATACGAATAGGATATCAACTTAGGCGAAGAGAACTCCACATAACTGAAAGTATGGAGAGCTAGAGGAGACATGGTCGGAGCATACAAAATACTTAGGACGTTGCGTACCTTTGTTTGAGCTTGTGGCGGTGGGAATGGAGTCGAACCCCGGCCGTGTTCTCCATCCCACCCATGATGTTGTTGATGGCTCCCTCTGACACCACCATCTTGACCTGCAAATATATATATTTATATATATATTTATATATATAGATACATGTGAGAAATATAAATAACAATGACGAATATGAAGTATTTTTAGAACAACAAATAGAAGCGTAAATTAAGGAGTAAATTATATATATATACCGTAGGTTTTTAGCAAAATATAGAATGCTAAATTATCTTCCAGATTACTGCAGTGATCCGGGCTTAGCCTCTGTATCTAGACTGTATCATACGCACCAATTGGTTGTTCAACTACTGGTGATTAAAGCATAGTTTTCTTTGCTAAATGCGCCATTTACACCCCCCCTCCCCCCCCCCAAGGAAACCCCCAGGAAAAACCAGAGGAAAATCCCCAGGAAACCCCCAGGAAATCACTAGGAAACACCCTTGAAACCCCCCGGGAAATCCCAGGTAAACCCCAAGGAAAATCCCCAGGAAACCCATGGAAAAAAAACAGGAAAGCGATTGAAACATTGATGGCTAAGCCTGTGCTTGACACGAGATATAAACAATATGGTCCAAACTACCTTGATTTCGGGGTTCAACGCCCCCGCGGCCCGGTCCTCGACCAAACCTCCACCTCCAGGAAACAGCCTGTGACAGCTGACTAACTCCCAGGTACCTATTTACTGCTAGGTTACAGGATCATCAGGGGTGAAAGAAACTCTGCCCAGTGTTTCTCGCCGGCGCCCGGGATGGAACCCGGGACCACAGGATCACGTGTCCAGTGTTCTGTCCGCTCAGCTACCGGCTCCCTCGGGGCAAAATTTAACATTTAAATTTAAATAGAGCCAGTGAAGAGTAGAGGCGCCATCAGAGAACACTGTATGAACACCAGAGGTCCACATTTGTTCAATATTGTTATAGCAAACGTGAGAACGTTTGCAGCAAAGGTTAACTTCCTGTATGACAGTTTCCTTGCAAGAAGTGCCGGACCAACCAGGCTGTAGTGGATATGTGGGTCTGCGAGCCGCTCCCAGCAACAGCCTGTTGGACCAAGTTATCACAATTGAAGCCTGGATCCAGACAGGGCTCGGGGAGTAGAAGAACTCCCAGAACCCACTCCCAGTAAAGGGATGTGCTGGAGTGTGGTGTGAACAAAGGTTACTTACTATCCCTTACTAAGGGTGTGGCGCAGATGGAGCTGAGAAGTAGGGTGTGACCCGGAGTGTATGGGTGTGACCCGGAGTGTATGGGTGTGGCTAGGGTGTAGGGAAGGGAGGGAGGGGGGGGGGCAGAAGACAAGTGGCATATACAACACGGTCGATAGGCCGCCCCAGTAAGGTGACACACCCCCCCCCCTTCCTATCCCAGACACTGTCTCGACTGTCGCTCCTGCTCCAGACACTCAGCCTTTCACCTTATTGGTCAAGCGCTCATGGTGTATCGCTGATGCTCAGTGTATCGTTGTACACTGATGCATCATCTTTTTATTCATATTTTACTGTTAATCATAAAACTTATACGACTTTACTGATAAAACAGCAACCAATTGATATAGATTGTGGAGCTGATATCACGACAATTTGCTCTCATTATTCTTGATATCTGTACTGCTATCACAATCATCATTAATATAATTGCCTCTCGTCCCAATACCACTTTCCTGCGTCACTAGTATATCAAGCCCTCGTTATACTCCAGCCAGAGTATGCTACTGATGAACATCCGGTGCCACACCACCCAATGTGTCCCTGGGTTTCGAACCCTTCCACTCCCGTACCAGAATAGTGATCATATCTGGTCCACTTCAGGGCTTGTATCAGCCCACTTCATCTGTTATCTTTAGGCTCCCACTCATTATCACCTGCTTCACTATCACCCGTGTGTTTCACTATCGTGTGATTCACTGTCGCTTGTTTCAGTGTTTCACTGGTACACCTTCACTATTCACTATCCACCCTGGTACACCTATTCACTATCCACCCTGGTACACCTATTCACTATCCACCCTGGTACACCTATTCACTATCCACCCTGGTACACCTATTCACTATCCACCCTGGTACACCTATTCACTATCCACCCTGGTACACCTATTCACTATCCACCCTGGTACACCTATTCACCCCAAGTGTTTAAACCCCTAAACACCTGTATTTACCTGAGCCAAGTCTTACCTGGGCTTTAAGCGATGACCTACTAACGTATAGAAATAATTAACAATTAAAAAATCATCACTGATTAAAACCAATTCAGCAACGTAGGCCTACTCAGACAGGCCGGCCTACTCTATAACGTATAGCTATATAAAACCTGCCCAGTATACAGAACACAAGACTTGGTTTCAGTTTATAGAAACACATCAAAGCCGGGCTTGGGGGAGTAGAAGAACTCCCAGAACCCCCATCATCACGGGCTCGCCATAGCCCGTGCTACTTGGAACTTGTTCCGAGTAGCTGAATCTATAACAACCCATCGTCAAGCAGGTATCAAGCCCCATAAGAGAACAGTTAACGTCAACAAGGGCAATTAAGGAGGGGCGGACGAGGCTGAGACATAATTGCCCTCTCGTCTTGTAAGACAACTCTCCCGACGGTGATTGATGATTGATAAAGATTAAGCCACCCAAGAGGTGGCACGGGCATGAATAGCCCGTAAGCCGACGGTGAACTTCCGCACTTTATTTATATACGGTGAGGCGGTACGAGACGTCTCGAACCGGAGTCTTAGTAGATGCCAACGTCACTGCTAACCTGGGGCCAGATTCACGAAGCAGTTACGCAAGCACTTACGAACCTGGGGCCAGATTCACGAAGCACTTACGCAAGCACTTACGAACCTGGGGCCAGATTCACGAAGCAGTTACGCAAGCACTTACGAACCTGGGGCCAGATTCACGAAGCAGTTACCCAAGCACTTACGAACGTGTACATCTTTCCTCAATCTTTGACGGCTTCGGTTACATTTATTAAACAGTTTACAAGCATGAAAACTTGCCAATCAACTGTTGTTATTGTTATAAACAGCCTCCTGGTGCTTCGGAGCTCATTAACTGTTTAATAATTGTAAACATAGCCGCCAAAGATTGAGAAAAGATGGACAGGTTCGTAAGTACTTGCGTAACTGCTTCGCGAATCTGGCCCCAGGTGTGTGAGGCCAGCAGAAGAGTGTGAAAGTTGCTCCAACAGCTGCTAATGTGCTTTTCACTTTTGTAAACCCCACATTAATGACATTATGTAAAAAAAAGACATCAAATACTATTTATGTAGAACAGACGTAAAACTGTGTATTTATGTATCTATGTATGTAGGTTAGATTAGCAAATCCACAAGGGCCGTGACGAGGATTCGAACCTGCGTTAGATTAGCCATTTATAAGTACTACAATCCCCTTCTGTGGTTGATTGTTCAATAAATCACTGAACTATATGTTTAACAGATCTCTCACCCTGTCCATAAGAAGACAGAAGAAAATGTACATATGCTGGTTAGCATGGTAAATGTCTGGCCACGTCTGTGGTAGACACATAATAATAATAAAACTGCCAATGTCTGCAAATACAGACAAAAACAAGGCACGATTTTATGTCAACCTTTGCGGTCAACACAAAAATCATCATGATTTTGCATTGCAATGCAAAATGTTGAGAGAGCGGGGACCGGGTGATAAAGCTCGACCTGTGCTAGCACACATAGGTGAGTACATCTAGGTGATGTGGTCGAGGCTGACTCCATCTTGAGGTTATCTTGAGGTTATCTTGAGATGATTTCGGGGCTTTAGTGTCCCCGCGGCCTGGTCCTCGACCAGGCCTCCACCCCCAGGAAGCAGCCCGTGACAGCTGACTAACACACAGGTACCTATTTACTGCTAGGTAACAGGGGCATTCAGGGTGAAAGAAACTTTGCCCATTTGTTTCTGCCTTGTGCGGGAATCGAACCCGCGCCACAGAATTACGAGTCCTGCGCGCTATCCACCAGGCTACGAGGCCCCTCCATACACACTAATTTGAAATGTTGATATCAGAGAGCCCAATAGGCTCGGAAACCTGTACACCAGTTGGTTAATATAAGAGGCGGGGATCAAAGAGCCGAAGCTCAACCCCCGGCACACATCACAACGGTAAGTAATCGTGGTTATATAGGCCCTTATCAGCGGCGTTCATCACCACTATCTCTGTGTGCTGGATCTGTATCACCCCCTTTGGTGCCCGTGTCACCCACTTTGGTGCCCGTGTCACCCTCTTTGGTGCCCGTGTCACCCCCCTTTGGTGCCCGTGTCACCCCCCTTTGGTGCCCGTGTCACCCCCCTTTGGTGCCCGTGTCACCCCCCTTTGGTGCCCGTGTCACCCCCACTTTGGTGCCCGTGTCACCCCCACTTTGGTGCTCGTGTCACCCCGTTTTGGTGCCCGTGTCACCCTGGTACCCGAAGCAGCGTTGAACGACTCATTTACTGTTAAGTCCTGTCGGCTCCGCCTTCTCAGCTGATGAAACCGTTAATGACGTCATAATGTTTTAGTGCTGACGTCACGGGCGTGGGGGGACGTCGACGTCACGGGCGTGGGGGGACGTCGACGTCACGGGCGTGGGGGGACGTTGACGTCACGGGCGTGGGGGGACGTTGACGTCACGGGCGTGAGGGGACGTCGACGTCACGGGCGTGGGGGGACGTCGACGTCACGGGCGTGGGGGGACGTCGACGTCACGGGCGTGGGGGGACGTTGACGTCACGGGCGTGGGGGGACGTCGACGTCACGGGCGTGGGGGGACGTTGACGTCACGGGCGTGAGGGGACGTCGACGTCACGGGCGTGGGGGGACGTCGACGTCACGGGCGTGGGGGGACGTCGACGTCACGGCCGTAGACGCAAGCAAGATAACGTTGCCAAAAAGAACGCTTATCCTTGACGCCAGTTATGTCAGTCCAACATTACCCAACTGAGCGTCGCCGACCTGAATTCCGATATATATTCCCGCGGCACTTAACTGTCGTGGCCGTTAAAGATGGACCCGCCCACAACGTCTCCCAGCACGCCTAGTAGACCTCCACACACACACACACACACA